TGATCATTTGCTTGAATTTACACATTGTCTTTTCTGTGTTTGTAAAGATGTCGCAGCATTCAGCATTGTTTTACAAGGAACTATGACAATGTGAATAAGAAAAAACATGGAATACAAATGAGTTAAAGGAGGAAAGTTAATTTTTATAATTTTGTGAACCTAACCTAAATTATAACGTACTTATGCTTGCTCAACAACAGCATCCATTGTTGCCGGATTTCGTATATAAACACTTGATTAAAAAAACAATAATGTAATAATAAAGACAACCTTTCAATCTATTCTTCTTTCCTTTTAGATTAATCCATGCTTGATTATTTTTCTTTTAATATTATTGATAAAGTAGTACCTTGTTATATTATGTACTTCATTGGAGCAGCACTGTATTGATTACAGCGTTTGACTTAAAATAGGCGAATGCAGTAACGAAGCTAATGTGGTTGTTACGGTGTTTGACTGAAATTGCTGTCATTACAGGGAATGACTGAAATGCTTAGTCAAACGTTGTAATAATCAAACTTACGGTAATTGCCGGCAATACGGGGAGTGACTAGGCATTTCAGGTAATGACGGATTTCAGCGTTTGACGTCGACATATACACGGTGTCCGCAAAGTTGGGGTTTTCCTTTTCAGAAACAACTACCCTTGGAATAACAAAGGTAATGTGTAGTGAAACGAGGGCGACCAAGTAAATAAAAAATAATAAGGATAAAGTACTCACTCTCCAGTTGACGAGAAGGGCTAAGTACGTCTCTGCCCGAAATCATACCACTCCAACAGAAAATGAAATCAGCTGATGCGCTACCGAGCAGACGCAGAAACCACAAGGAAGGCAAAATGTTGCGTAAAAGTCTAGGTATTGCATCCCGTCCAATCGATTTAGGAGAATAAATGGTCCAATGAGCATACCGTTCACCATGCCAGTCCAAACATTCACCGAAAATGTTTGTTGAAAATGTGCCCGACGGACAGCGTGCGGATTTTCTACTGACCAAACATGAGTGTTGCGAAAGTTATTCACCCCATTACGCGTGAACGTAGATTCGTCTGTCACCAATTTATTAGAGTATTTCCAGGAAGAGAACGAAAACACCGGTCCCTGTTACCCACCTCACGCGTACTGGAGAGAGTAGCAGATGCGCAGTGTTCCGCCTATGGTACGGAGACTCGATCTGTTTAGTTATTTCATATGGCGTTGCTGACGTAACCGCCAAGAACGGTGACTACAACTACACCTATCTATTGGGTTGTCGGAAAAGTCATGACGTATATGCAACAAAGTATGCAATTGCATGGTTGGAAGTACGTGAGTCAATGACATTTGTATGTTGATTGTGTAGTTTGACAGTTGACACTTCAAGCTTCATTTGCACCAAAAAATTAAGTGATTTATTTGAGTCTCGTCGATTTTAGAGGACGTTGAAGATGGACGACCAAACTGTGCATTTTCGTCACATTTTGCTGTATTACTTCCGCAAAGGCAAGAACGCAAGACAAGCGTGTGAAAAGTTGAGAAAGGTTTATGGAGAACATGCACTACAAGAACGGCAATGCCAGAGATGGTTTAAAAAATTCCGAGATGGGAATTTTGATATCCATGACGCACCTCGATCAGGGCGGCCTACTGAGTTGGATAGTGACGAATTAAAGGCATTGGTAGGAGCAAACCCACATTACACCACACGGGAAATTGCAGAAACCTTAAAAATACATCATTCAACCGTTCACGACCATTTGAAGAACTGAGAGAGGTTCATTTGACGGCGCGTGTAGACATCTGCGATATGCTCCTTAAACGTGAGGAAAACGATCCTTTCTTAAAGCGCTTGATAACGGGAGATGAAAAGTGGATTGTTTACAACAATGTGGTTCGCAAACGGTCTTGGTCCCGAAGTGTAGATACGCGTAACACGATCGCGAAAGCAGAGAGTCATCAGGAAAAGGTGATGCTCTCTGTTTGGTGGGATTTTAAAGGGATCGTGTTTTCCGAACTCCTGCCAAAAAACCAAACCATCGATACAACTGTGTATTGTCGGCAATTGGACAGTTTGCAACAATCCATCATGCAAAAACGTCCGGAGCTCATTAATCGCAAAGGAGTTGTGTTCCACCATGACAACGCGAGACCGCACACAAGTTTGCTCACTCGTCAAAAGTTATTGGAGTTAGGATGGCATGTGTTACCACATCCAGCATACTCGCCTGATCTTGCCCCATCTGATTTTCATTTGTTTCGGTCGCTTCAAAATTCCTTGCGAGAAATACGCTTTACTTCAGATGAAGCTGTACATCAGCACCTTGTTCAATTTTTTGCCGGTAAAGACAAATGCTTCTACGAGCGAGGAATTATGATGCTGCCTGAAAGATGGCGAAAGGTCATCGATCAAAATGGGCAATACATTATTGATTGAAGTTTGTGCTGTATATGAATAAAATGGCCTTAAAATAAACAAAAAAGCGTCATGACTTTTCCGACAACCATATACTATAGCAGTTATGTCGTAGATCCGCAGATCTAGCACATGTTCAAGTACCTACCTATGACCTTTCTTCCATCAATCATATTGATGTTTTGAACTTTAATATTAAATCAAACGCAAGGAAAATTTTCCTATTATAATTATAGCGTATAACTTAACATCCATTCAGTGTTAATTACAGGATACTCGTAAAAGTGATTAGATGGCAATGATAGAAATCTCATTCACCGTTTCACCGATAAGCGCGGGAAGTATATAGTGATCGCCGAAATCTAATTATTTGAGGTTAAATGAGGTTTTGGGCATTCTATTATATTGCGATAGGTCCAACCAACATCTTGATAGGCAATGATTCTACCACTGCCAAAGTCGCTAACATGGTGATAATTTGAACGTCTGGATTCATTTTGTTATGCTTATTAATACTATACTACAACTATTTAAAACTGTAATGACTCATACGCGTGATCAACACGTGATCAGAGCTCGATCCCGGCGTCCTTCCAGTACAGCCGTATAGCGTACGACATATGTCGTTTCTGTGGCTTTGCGGTTGTCAACAGCACAGACAGAGATGGAAATAATGGCTGATTGTTCTCCGCCGGTAGAACCAATGAAATCAAAGACGCGCCTCGACCGGCAGACTCATAGGCGTCGGCAACGCATTGGAACGTGTTTCGTTGAGTGATCGCATATTGTGTGTTTTTATAAGAATTGTTGTGTGATTGTTATTGTTGTGGTTTCTGTGGTTACTGTTTTGGTTATACTTAACCATGGAGAGTACAAATGGCACGAGTGGAAGTACTGAAAGCCAGGGAACAAGTAGACGGCTTCGTAAAGCACTGAAGAGGGACGCGAAAGAAATCATGCTCAACGTGTTCAATTATCTGAACAGAACTATGTCGCAGGGAGATGCACTCGCGCGTTGTGAAAGTATGACAGGCGTTCCAGAGTGGACCATTCGCAGGGTGGTGCATGAAGAGAAGATAACTGGAGCTACTACTGATCCAAAGTTTAATTTGAAGGGACGAAAGGCCGTTAAATTGGATGACGATAGCAAAATGGCGTTAAGGCGAACCGTACATTCATTCTTCTTTAGGAATGAGATACCAACCCTCAAGGCTGTACATGCAGCGATCAAGGAAAATGAAATTATACCCCAAATGAGCGTCGAGGTAATGAGGAAATCCCTGCACGAAATTAATTTTCGTTACGAAACGCGTAATCGGAAGTCAGTATTGATAGAGAGACCTGAAATAGTCGCCTGGCGTCGAAAATACCTACGCGAAATGATTGAATATAGGCGACAAAGCAGAAAAATCTGTTATTTGGACGAGACATGGGTAAATGCAGGTCACACAGTTAAAAAAACCTGGATAGACAAAAACGTAGTGAGTAACCGACAAGCAAGCATTGAAGGTTTGTCAACAAGTCTTCGTGGACCGTCAGGGAAAGGTCAAAGATTGGTCGTAACTCATATTGGTAGCGATAGTGGCTTTTTAGAAGAGTGTGACTTGATTTTCGTCTCTAAGAAAGGAGGTGATTACCATGACGAAATGAATGCCAGCTGCTTCGAGAGCTGGTTTCAAGGGGTGCTTCAGCGAGTTGAGCCCAGCTCTGTGATCGTCATGGATAATGCTTCCTACCATAGTCGTCGAGCCGAACGTGTACCGACTATGGGATCTCGAAAAAGTGACATGCAGCAATGGTTGCGCGAAAAAGGAATCCCGTTTGACGATTCATGTGTGAAAGCGGAATTGTATGAAAAAATTAAACAGCACAAACCTGCGAACATTAGTTACGTGACTGATGAGATGGCCCGTCAATGTGGTGTCACTGTGCTGCGGTTACCGCCATACCACTGTGAACTGAACCCAATAGAGCTCATCTGGGCTCAAGTGAAGGGTTATATTGCGCGCCATAACACAACCTTCAAATTACCAGACGTTAAGGTTTTACTTGAGACTTCCATACAGCTAGTACCTAACGCCCGAAGCTTGGCAGAATGCTATCCGTCATGTTGTGAAGGAAGAAACAAAAATGTGGCAGCCTGACCACCACATCGACACCATCATAGAACCAGTTATAGTCAATTTCAACGAGGAAAGCGATAGCGGCAGTTTATTACTGTCAGATGTAAGTGGAAGCGACGATGAATAAAGGTAATTCCCAAATTTTTGACTTACAATATGTTTCAAACCACTCTTTATTAAGCATGTGACAAATCTAGTTCACCCATGTTAAACATTCATACCCCGCCTATGAACAGCCGACTACTGGTAGTTAAGTGATGTTCACGTGAACATCGATGAGTCATTACAGTTTTAGATAGTTATAGTATAGTAAATAAAAGGGCAATAACTATAATTATCTGTACTACTTAACTCTCAGAAACTTGCTTTGTTCACAAAAACTAACGGATAATATTTTAATAAAGGTAAACATGTTGCACAAATTATTTTTTCTGGGCGTAGCACTTCTAATGACACTGAGTATATTTGAACATTCTATTTTTATAGTGAGAGAAGAAAGAAACAATGGACGTAATAGAAGTACCCAGTGCAACACAGTTGAAACAGATCAAGAAAGATTTGGGAGAAGATGAAGATCGAATGAAAAGCCTTGAAAATGTATTGTTCCAGTGGATAGACTCACAGCCACATATGTCGAATGACTATGGTAAGAGCAATTTCTTTATTTAGATTCCCGAAAAGACCTCGCACAATGGCAACGGATAAACACTTTCGGTGGAATTAAATTCATCAACCAAAATTACAACCGAGGGAGTTTAGAGCAGTACCGGTAGGGAGACTGTACAAACTGGTACAGAACACTAGACTACTAGATTGGGTACTGTAAGGCACAATAGGCTCTAGAGGCTGGAGTCCTATCGGGGACTTTGGTCAGACGGCTCCCGGAAAGGGCAAAAAACCCTTTAAGCAAATTAGCTACAATATTTACTTATTTGAATAAGAATCTAAGAGACTAACGGGGCTCTTACAATCACGAGCATCATCTGCTGAGGTAACGGTGGGGGAGGAAAGGAAACGAGGGTGGGCTGGCCTTAGACGGTCGTCGGCGCTACATTAAAAGAGGAAAGGATGACTGAGGGTGCGTATCGAAGTAAATTTTTATAATAACACAGTCGGATTTCGATTAGCGATCTAGCGTATAAATAGTAAAGTAAATAGTAAAAACCGATCTGCACTTCACAGCTGACGTTTTATTTTTTATTATTTCCAAATGAAACTCTTGCACCGTGCTAAAAACAAAGTCTACAGGGTGCCAGCGATCCACTTTTTCGATTTTATCCACTAGCATCTTTTTAAAATATCAAGAAGTTGAGCACAAATAGTAAGCATTTCAACCCACCATAATTCTTGCGCAAAGACAAAATTTTGTAAAAAGCTCTGATAGCACCCTAGGCAATTATCTCCTGCTTATATCGAAAAAAACATCACAATCTGCAGCACACAAATTGAAGGTAACGGCGAAATGGGTACATTTCACGGGTCATGAAATTCAAATGAAAATGCAGGTATAAAATCTACCAAATTATCATTCTCAAAAACATATTTCCTTGACATATCGATAATTTTAAAGTTCCACGCTAAATTCCCCTATACTTGACTGGAGTGATTCCGAATTTATTCTTCCCTGTTTTTGGCAGTTGCAGATAGATCTGTTGGCTCTTGGTGTCAAACCTATAGAGTAGGTACCGATTTTTTCAAATCGTTAGCACATTATTCGTCGGATCTTCGATACTTAAATTTCCTGTAATCACTGGGACCAGAAGCTTCTTAATAATAGAACGTGTTTCACTGATATCAAAGATGCAACATTTAGAATCACCTTCCCCCTACCCCCACTTTTTAAGCAGTACATTTTTTTATGTCACTGATAACGCTGGACAACAAATTTTAGTTTTTTAATTGTATCTTGTGGGAAAAGTGCACTTCTTTGTTAATTTTGGGGCGCTGAATCCAAAAATGACAATGAAATAAAAAAAATTAGTTGCGGTTTAGAAAAAAAAGTTTTTATTTTTAAGGATATATTAAAAAAAGTAACAAGATTCATATACTTATAAGAATCACTATATGCGCTGTCTTTTTGCTGTTCTTTTATGGATCGTTTCTGGAGCATCTCTACCAAGAGTCCAACAGTAGTCTGCAAGCATGGAAGGATTCCACTTTCCCTGGTACCTTTTTTCCATTGTTGAAATATCCTGATGAAAACGTTCGCCGTGCTCATCACTTACGGCTCCGCAATTGTCAAGAAAAAAGTCCAGGTGTGAGTGTAGGAAATGTATCTTAAGAGACATATTACAGCCCATCTTTTGATACGATGACAGCATATTTTTGACAAGGGTTTTATAGTTGTCAGCTTTTCTATTTCCCAAGAAATTAGTGACCACCAGACGGAAATCATTCCAAGCAGTTTTTTGAATACCTGTTAAAGTGTTTTCAAACTGTGTATCTTTCAAAATATTTCGAATCTGTGGCCCAACAAAAATACCTTCTTTAACTTTTGCCTCACTTAGTCTTGGAAATTTCTGACGCAGGTATTGAAAAGCTGACCCATCTCTATCTAATGCCTTGACAAAGTTTTTCATTAGCCCCAACTTGATATGCAGTGGTGGTAATAAAATTTTTTTCGAATCTACTAATGGCATATGCTGTACATTTTTTTGACCTGGCTCTAGGAATTGACGAACAGGCCAGTTTTGTCTGGTGTAATGAAGTGCCTTTGCCCGACTGTCCCATTCACACAAAAAACAGCAAAATTTTGTGTAGCCTAGCTGCAGCCCAAGTAAAAGTGCAACAACTTTCAAATCGCCACAAATATGCCATTGGTGCTCATCGTATTTTATGCATGTCAATAGGTACTTCATATTGTCATATGATTCTTCCATGTGAACTGCATACCCTACAGGAAGAGATGGTAAAATATTTCCAATATGCAATAACACTGCCTTCAAACTCAATGTTGAACTGTCTATAAACAATCTCCATTCTTCTGGGTTATAGTTTATATTTAAAGCCGCTAGTAAGCCGTTAATGTTACTGCAGAAAACCAAGTTATTCTCTATATTGAAAAATGGTTCTAAGTCTTTGTGGCGTTTACGAAAAACACATACCGAAACATCGTCTTCTAACAAGTTCCACTGCTGCAGTCTTGATCCAAGTAACTCTGCCTTACATTTTGGAAGTTCTAAATCTCTTACAAGATCATTTAATTCTGACTGTGCTATTTTGTGCGGCTGATGGCATTACGTGCTCGGTATAAAATCAGGATCTCTTGACGTTGATGGCATATCTTCTTCCTGACGAATTACTCGATCGCCATGATCTGATTCGTTTTCTGATTCGCAAGTGTAGGATTCTGGGGGTTTTGGAATAGGATTTTCGTCACTGTGAGGCACAGGTCTCAATCGCAGATGGTATGTTTGCGTAGTTAATAACCGATTTTTTTTTCTTGGACATACCTGTGGCTTGTCCAACACAAGGTACCATGCAAAAGTAACAATCATTAATATGATTTGTAGGCTTTCTCCAAACCATTGGGACAGCAAAGCGCATAGACCGTTTTTTGCCATTTAACCAGCTCCTCAGACTTGAAGCACATGTATTACAGCAGATGTGGGGTGCCCATTGTTTGTCTTGATCACCTAGTTGACAACCGAAATAAAGCTGATATGCCTTTGCTATTAGTGGAGTGTCTGAGACGCAAAAGTCACATCACCGCACACGTAACAAAACTGATCTGGATTGTTTACACACTTTCGAGACATCTTTCATGAACGCTGTCAGCCAACTGAGGAAAAAATGGCTGATATAAAACAATATAATGTACACGTATGAATAACGTAACACAATCATGCCGATTACATTATCTTTCCTTGCCGAATATAAAAATGTAGCACGTGCATTCTTGTGAATTACAGTATATTAACACTGTCACAGCAGGAACACATATAATTACCGTATCTCTAAAAATTGAACTAATATTGAAAAAATAAGTTTCATTCCGGTTTTAGCACATTAAAAATAGTAATATTTTGTTGATTTTATTTAGGATATTTTTTGGCTGTTGATCAGTGTAAGCTTTGACATACTAGTAACCCCGTGTGGAGATTTCATAAAAATCCGAGCGGTAATTTCCAAGTTGATGATGAGTGATACAGTTTTTCGTGATGTAGATGTCATACGACTTGAAAAAACATAATTTTAGAAATTTTTCGCGATTACAATACTTCCTCGCCAATGGCGTGGGAAGTAAAACGGCTTTAAAATCGAGGTGTATCAGCGATCGCGATTATGAGTACCTATTTGCAGAACGACTTATCTACGCGATATTATATGAAATAGCACCCTCGGCAATTATCTTCTCAACATACCGTATGGATTTCATTCAGAAATATTGAAAAATGGAGTGCTACTTTCGAAGCAGCTGAACCCTTGTAAATGGCTTGAAACTCACTGCGTCGGAGCCGCCTTAACTCTTATAGCTATATTTTTTCAATTGCTTTTGTGCCCCGTCTTCAAAATTAATAATAACGTCTTTAACGGGACCGTTTGACCCTCTTTAAAATGAGTGATTAAGAGGTGGAAACCCGTGACTTCAGACCTCTGAACAGAGAAGATGCGTCGTTAGTAATCCAACTTCCCTTTACTTTATAAACTTTGTAAACTACCAACCGAAGCATCATTATTTATAGATATAAGCCATATGGAAATTCAATGATGCATATGTTAAATATGTGGATATTATTTCTTTCATTTCACGGATATAACAATAATGGATACCTGCGATGATTTATTATACCAATTTGCATGAATTATGAGTTTTTTGTCATTTAATACTCACCTCTACGACTAGGATTTGGATTTTGGCAGTTACGTCACGATCTCATTTGAAGATAGTAAACAAATTGACTATCTGATTGACTAATGGAAACTGACATCAGCGCAATCACATTGTCTTCATACAATTTCAGGAAACTCCAATAAAGGTTGAATCTTTAGTTGTATCTACAGAAGGGGGGGGGGGGTTGGAGTGTACAGTTTCTTATAAATTATGGAACTGTTACCAAATAATAGCTCCCACGGTTTGAAAATTTGGTAATTCTCATAACAGATCCATCATCAGCGATCTGAAAAACCACGGATATTTTTTTCTCGAAAACGGTTGATATTATCGAAATCAAACATGAATAAATTTCTTGAAAGAACTGCAGGTAGCATTACATTGATGCAGATGGAACAGTCAACACTATTAAGGAACGTGCAAAGTTCCAAAAATATTAGCTACAAGTTATTAAAGCTGTAAAAATATAAAAAATTAGCAATACAGGGTGTTTCAGTTTATTGTTGCATAACTTTAAGTATCGATAGAACTTTTAAAATTAATGCATAAAGTCTATATAAACATGGGTCGAAAAATGCGTGGCTTCCGAAATACAGGGTGTTTAAATTTACTTTTTAAAATAGTTTTTTTTAAATATTTCGAACAATATTTGATGCATAACAGTGAAAATTGGTATACAAGGGTTTTTTGGTCCGACAAAACGAACCATGGGCATAGGTTTTACTGTAGCCGCTAGAGGGCGCTCTCTACTGTACCTGTAGTGTATTAAAATGACCGAAAATTTTTTCTTAGTGCAATTTTTTGTTTTCCGAATAAAAAACTGATACTTCGCACTTTTCTGCATAAAAAAGCTCTCCTGTGAGTTTTCGTTATAGTTAGCCGTTTTTGAGATATTTCGATTTTTAAGGTTCGATGCATTTTTAATTATTTATGGGAAAATAATATTTTTTTTACATTTTCGATTTGGGCATTACAAGTAAGATGATCGTTTAGATTGTGTTTTTAAACACAGCAAAGCAATAATTCCTAACTCCAAATAAACACAAAAAAACAGAATATTAATTTGTTTAATTTTCCAATATTATTTTTAACAAATTAAATGAATATTGGATGCTATTGGATAGTTAAGACAAACATACAAAATCTAAAGTAGTTGCTCGAAATGTAAACCCAATCGTTCAATACACAATTCACATCTACGAATGATCGAACGTGGTATAGCATTATTCAAATAAGGCCTTATTTCATCACATGCATTCCTGATTCTGTCTACTAGCATATCTCTTGTGGTTACGGGAGTCTGGTACACTTTTTCTTTTAGAAATCCCCACACAAAGAAATCTAATGGATTTAGGTCAGGGGATCGTGGAGGCCAGGCGACTGGTCCTCCACGGCCGATCCATCTTTCTGGATAATTTTCGTCCAGCCAGTTTCTAACTATTCTCGAATAATGAGCTAGACAACCATCAAGCTGGAACCAGGCCAATCTTCTTAAATCTAACATAACATCATCCCACATATTTGCATGTTCAGCCTTTAAAAATTTCTTTCCCGAACTGCATGCGGATTTTCATGCGACCAAATATGTTGATTATGAAAATTTACCACTCCACGTCTAGTGAAGCATGACTCATCAGTCCATAAAACGTTACTTAAAAACACCCTATTATTATCAGTTCTATCAAGAATCCACTGACAAACTGTGATTCTTTGTTCTCCGTCCCCTGGCTGTAGTCCTTGCACAGGTTGCAAATGGTAAGGACGTCTATGGTCATTTCTAAGAACACGGTGAACATGACTTGCTGAAATTCCCAAGGCACCAGAAACTCTCCTAACACTTGTGGTCGGATCTCTATCAAACTCACGCAGAATCATACGGGTAAATCTGCGCTGATGAACATTTATGTTTTGATCCCTTTACTTTTTAACGTTATTTTATCATAAATAATTAAAAATGCATCGAACCTTAAAAATCGAAATATCTCAAAAATGGCTAACTATAACGAAAATTCACAAGAGAGCTTTTTTATGTTGAAAAGTGCGAAGAATCAGTTTTTTTATTCAAAAAGCAAAAAATTGCACTAAGAAAAATTTTTCGGTCATTTTAATACAGTACAGGTACAGTAGAGAGCGCCCTCTAGTAAAACTATGCCCATGGTTCGTTTTGTCGTACCAAAAAACCCTTGTATACCAATTTTCACTATTATACGTCAAATATTGTTCGAAATATTTAAAAAAAACTATTTCAGAAAGTAAATTTAAACACCCTGTTTTTCGGAAGCCACGCATTTTTCGACCCATGTTTATATAGACTTTATGCATTAATTTTAAAAGTTCTATCGAATCTTAAAGTTATGCAACAATAAACTGAAACACCCTGTATATTGCGTTGATAGCTAGTCTGTTTCTGGCGAACTGAATGAGTTAATACATAGTTTCCGTTCGATTATATCGTTCCCTAAGTTCTAACACAGGGTAACTCGAAAGTGACGGATTTCCAAAAGAGCAAAAAAACACGGTGGATCTTTGGATTCCCTATCGAATGACACGCATATCTTGATGGCGCCATTTTTTGAGTTACAAAGTTATTTAAAAAAAAACTATTTTCAACAACGTATCCTTCATGAATCAAGCGGTGTTTAGCAAAACGAGCGGATCAAATACAAGACTTCCAGAATAGTTCCAAAACTCACGCTATTTTAAAAATAAAAATTGTCAAAAATATAAAGTGATATACAGGGTGTGAACGTTATGATAGTCATTATTTAAATGGGTGATAGAGGGCGTTAAAAGAAGCAAAAAGTTTCATATAACATGGGGGTCAAAACGGCATTTGTTTAGAGAAAAGCGACTTTAAAGTAAAATAAAATCTGACAACGCCGCAATGCCAGACGCAAATTACGACGGAACGCAGTGTAAATAAACATGGAGTTTGTTATTTTTGGCTGTTAGGTATTATTACATTATTTGATAATGTACTCGTAAAATGCAAACAATTAAAAAAACGGACTTACCTCTGTCTCAGCACTTCACCTGGTGTGTGAAAGTTTATTGAACGTATTCAAAACATCCACTTATAAATAGGGAAAACAATTTTGATACATACATTGTTTTTCTTTTTAAAACCCACACTGCACTTTTTTTGTATTTAAACAAGGTGTTCAAAATGTCGTCATTCACTTTCCACACAAGCCTTATTACGACGAACCCAGTTTCTTCTCACTCTAGGTCCTCGAAGTACTCCATTTATTATTTCAGCCGCATTATAAACTTTTTCGCGAAGTTGTGCTTCAGTTATTGGTTCAGCCCCATAAACCATCCCTTTAAGTTCTCCCCAATACCAGAAATCCAACGGATTGAGGTCAGGAGATATTGCTGGCCATTTTCGAGGATCAGGAGCATTTCGACCGATCCAGCGATCTGGATAATGTTCATTCAAATACTGAATGACGCCTTTAAAAATGGGTGGTGGTGCCCCGTTATGAAGAAACCACAAATTCTGTCTACGTTGTAATGGCATGTTGTCTAAGGTCTGTTCCAAAAGTTCTGGTAGGTTATTGGCTAGAACGCTAAGGTATCCTTCTCCTAACAACTTTGGGGGTGACTCGAAAGGGCCAATTACCTGATCGTCAAGAATACCTGCCCAAATATTTATTTTTAAACGTTATTGGAAATGACCTTCACACGAATGGTATGAGGATTTTCTAGGGCCCACGTGTGAGTATCATGGAAATTTAATATCCCGTCTCGCGGAAAAGTACATTTGTCCGTCGCTGGAATGTTTTTTTGACTTGTTTTGACTCCCTCTATTACCCGTTTCAATAATGACTATCATAACATTTACACTCTGTATATTAGATGACAGAAAATGCAACATCAACTAGGAGTGCTGAAATCTTGAGCATACTCTTACAAGTTTTATGCCTACTGATAAATAGAAAGTCATTACAATTTTAATTCAACTTTCGCAAAATAGCTGAGATATCCCATCTTAATGTTAAGAATGTGTTGATGCTCCTCTGTTTGCTACACATTCGATAAGCCATCGCGGCATTGATTAGGTGATTGATGCCTTTTTGGTGTATTATATCTCCGGCCACAAAAAAGATATAAGTTATTTACCAAAATGGTGCTGTAAGTGGCGCCCTCTAGAAGTCTGGCTATAAAAATAACGGATTCTTGTTTCTCGTACTAGAAAACCTCTCTATACCGAGTTTTATACCAAAATCAGGAAAAATAGAAAATAAAATAATTGTAACTTTGACACCCTGTATCTGTATCTCGCAAACTATCAACTTCTGTCTAGGTCAATTCACATAATATTTTGGTCTGTAGTATCTCCATTTTCGAGATTTCCCAACGTCCAGCTCAACCTATAGGCAGCCAAAGTTACGCAACCCATCCATGCGCTCACAAATTGATCAGGATTGCCAGATGTAGTGATTTTTCACCAAATATGGCAATTTTTAGAGATTCGAAAGTCACAAATATTAGTGGTCAAGCTAGCAAGCGCGGATCCAGTGGGGTCATGACCCCCACGACCCCCCTGGATCCGCGCTTGCAGCTATGTTTTATATTGAATATCAATAAAAGCTTTTAGTTTTGGTCTCTTCGTTCCTGAGATGATTTTATATGAAACGCATTTACTCTGAGAATCTGGTTGGACCTTAACATTTGAATAAACAGCATAATTTTGTATACCATTTTTGGAAAATTTAGGATTTACCTCCTCCCTGAAAGAGTCTGCTTCCCCCGATCTTTAAAAAGTTTTTGGGGCAGATACACTTTTTAAACTCATCAGATCAAATGAATGGCAATTTAAGAGGCTACCGCAAAATTTTAAGAAAATCCTCGTCGGCTTTTTGAAATATTTGGCTCGCAAGTTGAGGGATCCAAAGCTTTGGCCGTATTCATGATTCGCACAAAACTGCAAAAATGGAAAGTTATTCTATATCATCTTCAAATGACATTTGCTTATTTATATACATTATTTGGATGAGTGATAGATCCTTTCTTTTCAGATAAAAATGTCATCCGATACTTTTTACGAGGTTGCAAGCACGATATGGAGAAAGCCAAAAAACACCTTGAATGCCACTTTGCCGCAAGAAGCTTGTATCCAGAACTCTTTGGTGATAGATCTGTGAGCTCGGAAGAAACGCTCAAAGCTTTAGAAATGGCGTAAGTGATTGAACGCACTTTAAATATACTAAGTGACATATAAATCCGAACACCCAGTTTAAATGGTTTTATTTTTATAAAATTTTGCATAAGTACTTCATGAAGCATAATAAGTAAATGATAAAAATTTCAAAATGATTGCACTGCTTTAAATCCCTTTGACCTTTAATAATGTGTGGATGCACCCTGATGTGCTACGCATTCTCCAACGCGCCTAGGCATGCTTCTGATCAGGTGGTCAATGTCCTCCTGTGGTATCTCATTCCAGGCAACCACCAACTCCTCTCGAAGTGCTTCTAGAGTCTGAGGAGGACGTTGCAAATTGAGCAATCTCCTACCCATCATATCCCACACGTGCTCAATTGCGGATAAGTCGGGAGATCTTGGTGGCCATGATAACAATGTGACATCATTATGTTGAAAGAAGTCTATTGTGACTCTTGCAACATGTGGTCGGGCATTATCTTGTTGGAAAGTTGGATCTGCCAGGGTGTCAAGATAGGGTAAAAGATGGGGTTCTAGAACTTCGTGGATATAACGCTGCGCGTTCATGTTACCTCTGATGAAGATTAAAGGTGACCTGGAACCATAAGCTATAGCACTTCAAACCATACCTCCAACAGTGTGATGAACATGTCTTTCAACAAAAAACTGCGGATTCTTCCTTTCACCACGTCGCCTTCTAACCCTGGCACGACCATCGTGCATGCCTAAACAAAATCGAGACTCGTCACTAAAGACAATACTGTTCCATCCCTGATCCCAGAGTGACCGTTGTCTGCACCACTCAAGGCGATTACGTCGGTGTTCTCGAGTTAAAGGGAGGACCCAGTGTGGCCGGTATGAAAACAAGCCAAAACTTCTGATTCGTCGGTAAACACTTCGCATGCCAATAGGTCTTCCGTGTTCTGCAAACCATTCATTTGCAATGGACCTGGTAGTGGAGAAACCCTCCCTTAAGGCCAATAATCTTAGGCGGCGATCTTCACGGTCTGTTGTTCTACGGCGGCATCCAGTGCCCCTTGCTCTTTGCGTACGGCCTTCTCGAAGCCATGCCTGACAACACCTAACCACAGTGTCTACACTTCCTTGCACTCTAACTGCAATTGCCCGAAAAGAAAGTCCAGCTTCCCGAAGTCCCAGTATACGGCCCCTATCAAACTCACTAACTTGACAAAATCGTACAGGTCTCCGTACTCTAGGCATCGTAACCGATCGTAAAGGACGTCAAGAACCAAAATCCGCCAACGTTGATTCTTCACTGCGGCTGAAATATTCATTTTTAGAGCGTTAGTGAATTAAAAAAAAAGCAGTATAAAAACCGGAATGTCCAACTGATAAGGCTGAAAATTTTTTCACTTGTTATTCACAGTAAGATAAATACATTCACCAACTTTTATTAAAATAAAACCATTTAAACTGGGTGTTCGGATTTATATGTGACTTAGTATAGTTTGAAAAATGTGGGCTAACCGTTACTTCGAAGTTATAATTGATCAGTCATGTGTGCCTCTATACAGAATGTTACTATCAGTTTTATACAGCACAGGCATGATACGGGACGTAAATAGCAACGCATTCCATTAAAATGAATGAATAATTGATTGAAATATGATTTTCTATTCCAGGTATTTAGCTCCATTATCTAAGTTGAGAGAAAACGGGAATAGGGTTTCAGTTTTCAAATTCAATGAGCCCGATGCAGCCAACATCGATATGAACGCTATATTAAAGACATTTTTTATGATATGTAAGTATGGTTTTCACAGTGATTCTCAACATACAACGAAAAGGTCGCACATCCATTTGTGACTCTCGTGGTATATTTTGGGAAAAACGCCAGGACACCTCAATTTTGATTTCTATGGGACGTCTTTTCATCTATAGCCGTAAAATACAGGGTGATCAAAAAATAAGATATTGCGATACACTTTAGATTTTTAAATTTAAACCCTCATTTTTTTTATTCTTCGATTTTCCATGAAGTTTTTAGTAACTTTTTTGTATAATAAAGTTTATACCTATCTTCAATCGTTGTGAAGCTATTTGAGTTTATAATAAAATTCGACTAACTTAATACCGATAATAATGGAATAATGGCAACAACAATGCAAATCTGATACATAATATTTGTTTTTCGGATGAGTGCACCTTCTATTTACAGGGTGCTGTAAATAGACATAATTGTCGAAATTGGAGTGACTCGAATCCATATTTTTTTCGAGAGGTACACTCGCAATATCCTGTAAAAATAAATGTGTGGACCGGCATTTTTGGAAAGCATATTGTAGGACCTTTCTTTATACCTGTAAACTTGACGAGCGAGACGTCCTTGGAAATGTTAGAAAATGACGTTAATTATAATGAAAATTACATTAATTTCCAATAAGATGGTGCACCGCCGCACTATGTGGCTCCAGTTTTTGGACACCGTTTGCACCGTTGCCGTTTACTTATTGCGATTTCCGGCACCCCCAAGGCATCCTGTATAGGTGCTATACGAGGGATGTCTTTTAAATTTTGCATATGGAAATAAAACAACACGGTAGGTAGTTTTAAATGACTTTATTGTTTTTCGAAGTATTCTCCACGAAGATTAATACACATCTGCATGCGCTCGAACCAATTTTCGAAGCACTTATTCCACTCGTTTGCTGGCAGATCCAAAACGGCATTTTTGAATGCGTCAACTGCTTCTTCTGGTGACTGGAACCGTTGACCACGCAGTCTGTTTTTAATTTTCGGGAAAGTAAAGAAATCGTTAGGACTTAGACTGGGACTGTATGGAGGATGGTCCAATAATTCCACGTTTTCTTCCGTTAAATACTGCCTTGTTTTTTGCGCTGTGTGCGAGCTTGCATTGTCTTGGTGGAGGATGATTCTTCTTTCGGGGTTGATTTTTCAAAGCTCGGTGATGACTTTTGGCAAACAAATGGTGGTATACTTGGAACACCCAAACAGCCGGCTGTCGTTTTTTTCTGGTTCATAACAGTCAATCCACGATTCATCACCACTAATAATGCTGTACACATTTTTTGAGTTTCCCAATTAACCCTGGCTGCTTTCTGCTCTTCAGTCAACAGGTGGGGTATCCAACGAGAAACTAATTTTCTTACTCCTAATTCTTCATGTAAATTTTTTTTAATTGAGGTCTTTGATATCTTCAAGGACGCCTCAATCTCGCGATATGTCACATGTACAGCATAGACGTTTAGCTGGGTGACTGCCGTTTTTGGTGCACCCACCCTGGGATCGTCGCTTAGACTCACCCGTCCAAGTTTGAATTCTCCATACCAACGGGAAATTGTCGACTGATTTGGCGCTTCGTTGCCGAAAACAGACAGTAACTCAGCAAGGCCTTCTCGTTGCGATAATTGTCTCTGAAAGTTGTAATAAATTATGGCGCGAAAATGTTCTCGGTTGAGTCCCATTTCTCCAATGACTTGGTGACACTTAAAAATTCACTGTAGTGAGAACACTGCACGCATTGTTGTGAAACTTTGAATTTAAGTTTACTAAAGAGTGAGGTTAAAAGACATCTCTCGTACTTACAGGAATGGCGCGGCATCACATGTAATAAAATAATATACCGGTTTGTTTTTTAGATGACATCGTATTCAACTGTCCACATCCAGTCGTTGCCGAAGAAATCATCTTCGACTACAGCGGATGCACTCCAGGTCATCTCATGAAGTTCCTAGCTTGTTCTACAAAGCTGATAAAAATCCTAAGGAAGGCTTACGCTATCAGACTGACCAGTTTGCACTTGGTAAACGCACCGTCAACCATCGATCGAGCTATGACCGTGGTCAAGCCCATGCTGCATCCCAAGATTAGAGAAAGGGCAAGTTAAAACATTTTCTTCTACCTTGTATTTAACTTCACTTTCTTCCACCCTCGGCCCCCCAGGGTCATTCCCTTAAAAATTTTAAGCGACAAGGGGTATCGAGTAATAGCTTGTTTGAAAGGTCTTTCAAAGTCCTTTACTTTGACGTTCGAGTTTTTAAATCAGTTGATTCGTTTTCAAAAAAATCATAAAAATCTTTATTTATCTTAAGCTGCAGCTTCCAATCTGCAACCAAACAATGTCAGGAACATCTGAAACGTTGTAACACTATGTTATTTTGATTGCAGATAGTGCTCCACCAGTCTAACGAAAACCTCCACGATCATTTCGGAGATATTCTTCCTTCAAACTACGGCGGTAAATCAATATCGCTAGAAGAAACGCTTGCCAAATACAAGAAACTGCTAAAAGAAAATTCCAAATGGTTGGAAGATACCGATTACATGAAAATGAACGGGTCAATACCTAAGGACTGTCAAGACAACTTGTACTTCAAGGAAAGCTTCGGTGTTGAGGGCAGTTTCAGAAAATTAGAATTAGACTGATGACAGATCTTATCGGGCAGTGTGAAGCAAAGTAATAGTAGAAAGAGAGCATAACTGAGATTTTTCAACTGACAGTCATTTTGGTCATTCTGATATCTTATATCAACACATGTGCATGTAAATGCTGCGGAAGCCATACTTTTTTTATTGTTAATCTTTTTTAAACTCTACCCCCAGCCCAACTTTTTACACATATCATTGAGGGTGGTAACACTGGTACTTGAGTTACTTTGTAAGTATTTTTACTTAAAATTCACATATTTAAACATCAGATTAAGATAGCTCTTTCGTGAGAATGGGTTTCATATATTTCGTTAATATTGTTCCTTGCGATATTTACGAAAATAAGTTCTGTGAGACTTTGTATATTATTGACTGTGTCTAATAAAATTTATACATCGAGGTTTTGTATTTATTTAGGAAACTAAATCTCGGTCATAATAAAGTATTTGGATCTATTCTTCTCTTTTCTAATCTCTTCTGTGGGTACAAGACAGGACTTGAATTATTTTCTTTACAAATAGACAATAAAAACAAAACAAGGGCAGTGTTCGATCTACGACTTCGAATTATTTTTCTTTGTTATCAGGTTTTGCCCCAGAAAAGTATATTTCTGAGTCGCTCTCGGGTTTCTCCACGAACCATTAGTGGCCAAATTTGTCGTACACAGGTCGAACGTAAGATTTGCCGGCAGAGCTATGACGTAAAGAGTTCTGGAATTCCGTCGCCACTGGACCAATTTTCGAAAACTTCAAAGCTTTTCCGTACTTGGCATAGTGGTAACCTTGTGTGAAAATTTTATCCAAATTCGAGCAGTACGTTGCAGGTTATAGACGGGCCAAGTATTTGTGGACAGACCGAGATGTCATATAACATAAATAAAAAACATATACACCACTCGCCAGTAGGCGTGGGAGGTAAAAATCAAGAACAAGCTGCATCGTCAGACAATCTACGACAGCTAGTAAAATGCAACTTTGTCTGTGTAGATGATATCCCCACAGTCCACAATCAGATTTTTTTGTACTTGTGCAGATGGCATATATCAATTATATCATATAATTTTTTTTAATAGTGAACATATGTATATGGTGTATTTTTATCTGGGTCGCTTTATTCAGTCAGGAAATAAACATGCCACACCTAAATATGACTGAATTACAATTTTTTCATTTAAGTACAAAATGACGAACTGAATTTGTAAACATAGATAAATATGTACATTATAAAAATCCAGTATAATTGAAAACAAGATAATTAGTCAGGAATTTACTGTTATTACTGTTATTAATACAATTTTAGTGCGGTGGTTAAGGGGTCCGACGTCTGACGCTGCACTTTTTTAGCAAAATGAAACCATGCAATTACATTTAAAAAGTGTAGAACAAGAGGAAGAGGGTTCGAGGTTCAGAGTGCTGTATAACTAGCCGAACTGTATTTGGACGAATTGCCAATGTTATCCGGGACATTTCCCAGAATATCTAGAGATACGAACCGCGCCACTTTGTTGCCCCGGAATCAAACTCATCATGGACTAACTACTGACTAATATTCACTTTTGGAAAGTGGTGCCAAAGTTGCGCCTCTTCAAGATCCTGGCTACGGATTTTGGGTATCTCGTAGTGGCACCAAATTGCCGATTTTCTATACTTTGTTGTATTCAAAGTGCTTACGCCTGTTGAGATAAAATACGAGCGTCCCATATTTAATAAAAAGAATAATAATAAACGCCCTTATTTACATAAAATGATTACATATACAAAACGACGTTTCTGTTATCCTGGTAGCGAATCTTCCACCGCTCACTAAAGCATCTACTCTGATGTGTGATATTGAGACTTATTCCACCGCGCATTTCTGTTATCATGATAGGAAACCTCAACCACCCAGTAAAGCAGTTTTGAAAGGAGCCTCTGCTCGAATGTGCGGTTTCCAGTCATTGAGAATTCTGCATCAGGCTAGCATGAACGAAGCACATAGTATAAATGTATGAACATATTCCTTACCTCCTCGCAGTTTCTGTTGTCCTGATAGCAAATCTTCAACCGCTCCGTAAATCATTTTTGAAAAGTGTCGAATGTGCGATTTTCAGACGTTGAGAAATTTGTATCAGGATAGCAGGAACGAATGAGGGCCGCACAAGCATATTAGGAGCATCGTAGATATGGCATACCTCTTCGAGTTTCTATTATCCTATCTATGCATTTAAAAAGTGGAGGACAAGAGGCACTGAAGGAGGGTTAGACATGCGTAGTGGTGTATATATCGCAGTTGTAAATTCGTGATTTTATGTTTTGATGTATTTAGTCACTTCTAGTGGGTTTTCTGTCACATTTTGCCCATATTGTTCGGGAGATTGACTAGTACTTCACTTTGGAAAGTAGTGCCCAAGTGGCGCATCTTGAGGATCTTGGCTACGGGTGTTGGACATCCCGTGGGATTAAATCCAAGATTTTCTATATTTTGCTGTATTCAAAATGCTTCCAGCAGCGATTTGAAGTATTTTGGTAATCTTTAGATTTCTATATTACGAATACTACTTGACAGTTGAGATAAAAAAGTAGCGCCCCGTACTTAATACCAATAATAATGATGATAATAATAAATGTTTTTATTTATGATTACATTATAAAAGGGCAGTTCTGTTACCCTGCTAGCGAATCTTCCACCACCCAGTAAAAAAATTTTGAAAGGAGCCTCTCCTCGAATGTAAGATTTTCATTCATTGAGAATTTTCTATCACGAGAGTATGAACGAAGCACATCAGGAGCATAAACGTATTCCATACCTCTTTGCAGTTTCCGTTATCCTGATAGCAAATCTTCAATCACGCAGTATAGCATTTTTGGGGCCTCTAACCGAATGTGAACTTGTATTCTTTTAATTAGGCAAGCGCGCATTCCGTCCTTGTTTGAGACTGCTTAGAAATCTATTTTTCATAGAAGCTGTGGATGTGGGTTCGCTCACAATATGACGATTTCTGAATATACCGCTAATTAATGATATCACAACAACACGCCCCCCCCTCCCAAAAAAAAATATATTTTTTTTAATGTTGATTGGGCGATACCCGGCGCGGCACGTATACAGGGTGTCCGCAAAGTTGGGGTTTTCCTTTACACGACGTGTAGATCTTGAAAACATAAGCAATTTTTCTTAGTACCATATACACCAATATCTTAAGGGAACCGAGATAAAGGGCTCTGCAACATCAAAAATATCTGCATACCGTCCTGTAGCCGCGACCCGCGACATCCCCGAGTGGTACTAGGACACTAGCTCAACCCGACGACAGAACTGGGTCGGGGTCAGTGTGTCAGGTCAGTATGCAACCTTCAACCGACGGTTACGGTCACGCGTGTAGAGGTAAACGAACCCGTATAATCGATTGCGTTTCAAAAAACAACAAGCACTAGAGACGTGGCTAGAGAAGTGCAAGTATCATATTGGTGACAGACGAATCTACGTTCACGCGTATTGGGGTGAATAACTTTCGCAACACTCATGTTTGGTCAGTAGAAAATCCGCACGCTGTCCGTCGGGCACATTTTCGGTGAATGTTTGGGCTGGCATGGTGAACGGTATGCTCATTGGACCATTTATTCTCCCAAATCGATTGAACGGGATGCAATATCTAGACTTTTTACGCAACATTTTGCCTTCCTTGTTTGCTTGCGTCTGCTCGGTAGCGCATCAGCTGATTTCATTTTCTGTTGTAGCGGTATGATTTCGGGCAGAGACGTACTTAGCGCTTTTCGTTAACTGGAGAGTGAGTACTTTTTCCTTTATTTTTTTTTTTTACTTGGTCGCCCTCGTTTCACTACACATTACCTTTGTTATTTCAAGGGTAGTTGCTTCTGAAAAGGAAAACCCCAACTTTGCGGACACCCTGCATTTGCAAATGCTGTGAATCAGAATCCAAAGGTGTTAATAAAACTTCCATAAATATGATTACATCTGTTTATTTCGAACGTATTTAAATACAGCTTTTCAATAACATGGAAAAATAATTTCCATTTACGAAGAAAACACTGATCACAACCATATTACATGCATACATAAAAGTTCAGATTATGAAACTGCAGGAACCTTTAGATGTTAAGGGGAAGCTAATGACGCTGTTTGGTCAAATGAGTAATTCGAGGTTAAAAAAACTGAATTGAATTACTTTTTCTATATATAACTAAATCGTGTGATATTCCGTGTTTGGCAGTAAAAGTTAAATAGCTACGGGATGAGATCCCATTGATGGGTGGCGATAGTCAGAATTCCATCTTCTCGCACAAAACGACCACAACCATTTGTCTGCTTTTGTTTCGTGTCTATGCGATGAGTCCTATACCGCACAGATGAGTTGCTAATGAGCACGAAACAGCGCTGTCTGCGGTTGGTTACAGGAGATGGAAAACAAACACGCTCTTTTCACCCTTTCACATCTTACGAGATTTAGTTTAGTAACAAAAGATAAACGTATGCTTGAAATTCATTTTTTTTCTAACTTCAAACTGCTTATTTGACCAATCAGCGCTGTCAGTCGTATCTATGCAGCCTCCCCTTAAAAACGGAGAGAAGCTTTGAATACTATAAGGTTCTCAGATAATGTTATTATAAATCGAATGAAATAGTTTTCCAACATGAAACATATTTCCATGTTGCGAGAAAAAGTGGCTGAAATAAAATGGTGCCTTCACAATCAGGATCGTTACCGAGGGTGTCTAGCATGTCTAGCATAGTTTACTGCTGCTGCTAACACAATTGAATTTAGGATAATCGGTGTTCTTCATGTATTATAAGAAGCTGGACACCAAAGACTAGACCTATTAATATTAGTATATAAAATGAGTAAAGTTTATAGAAAATATGGTTATAGAAATATTCGCTGTATAAAATACTGACTGTATCATTTGAAACTGGGTGAATACGTTCTAATAAAATATATTTTACAATACCTATCGTCTCCCAATCTACATTCGTATTTATGGTTATTGCCACGGAAAACGGATGAATACGTGAAACTCCTCTACTGTAATACAAAAGGTACTATAAAAGTTTTGGAATTTGATTTAGCAAACGGACGCATTAGGCTGCATGTTGAGACATCTCAATGAATGCATAGTATCAGCCTGAAGCACGTCTGTTGATTTAGTTGTTCATTCGTATTGACAGTGTAAAGTGCAGACTGTGGTATCGTGGGCACGTAGTGAGATAGGGCAGTTTAACGGTATAACTTTAAGCGATTAAGCGAGATTGTGGAGAGTGTCGTCTTGGAAATGAAAAACCTGCGGCCAAAGTGAAAAATGGACATTTGGTACCTCCACCATGACAACGCTCCAGCTCACCACTCCAAAGCCTGCACCGAGTATTTGAAGACTACTGGACTGGAACTTATTGAGCACCCTCCTTAAGAGTTCAGATCTTGCTTCCTGCGACTTTGCGCACTGTTTCTGCATGTGAAAATGAAGCTAAAGGGAAAACGGTTTTCTAGCGACGAGTGTGCCGCACTCCCGTGAAACCTGGCAGAGCTGGTTTAAGGACTGGTTTTGGCGGACTGAGAAATGTATTGCATGTGGTGGAAATTACTTTGAACGAAGTCAATAAATAAAGCAGTATAGCAAAACTTTTACAGTACCCTGTGTATGCGACATTCTGATGACAAAACATATGTTTTTATTTGTTCTTACGCCCCTCTCACGAATCAACAACAGTACAGGAGTAAGTAATTTTACAGCCTCTAAGAAAGCATTGCAATTCACACATTTGATTCTACACTTTATAGATAAAAATTCATCCACACCTATCATACCCAAAATATTATATACATTCTCAAGTTCGTACAAAAAATGACACCACACTCACATGTCAAAATACGCATTTATTGGTTCAAATAAGGCAGAATATTACTAATTTGAGCCGATTATAATTCTATGCTTACATTATAGGCAAACATTTGATTATTGTGTATACATGTGTATATAGTAGTTTGTAATAGTCTGGACTTTATATTGTCTTGGTTATAGAAACAGTTCAGAGGGGACTTTGAGAATGATATTTTTAATTTTTAAAGAACGTAAAATAGGAACAAAATAAAATATTGCATTCTTGCAGTTTTGAGTGTTCAATTTATTAGAAAAACAATTAGAACAAGTCGAAGGTTATAACCGAGAAACCCAAAATATAAGAGTTTTGAAGTTTCGATTCTCAACTCTGAACTTTTTTACTGCAAATATGGAACGATTATTCAATGTAATTAAATTTGCTATCATATAAATATATTAAATGTAATATATATATATATATATATATATATATACTTGATGTACCAATGCAGCTATCATTTTATGCAAAAATGTACTTTTTGCAATATAACGTTATTCAAAAAATACCATAGTCTACATCTAAGCCTCCAAAAGTATAGCCTAATCATTAATCTGCCTTAAGACATAAAAGTATGTATTACAGTCTGTGCTCCAAAAGTTGTTATTTGATAAACAGGAGCTTAGGAAAAATTGTATCGCCTCCGGCACATTCGAGTTTATAAAGAAACGTTTTCCGTTTGAATGACAATCGATAATATTAATGAACAACCGATCGATTCATGTAATTTCTGCAAAAAAATTATAAAGGATTAGTTTATGTTTATTTTAGTTTATATTGAAAATTAAATATAAGAAACACGTAAGGTTTGATTTTTACAATTTTTCCTAAGCTCACATTTTAACACCTAATAACAGAGAAATTCACTTTTTCTATAAGTGGTAAGTCAGCTGTTTGCATTGAAGATACACGTAACATTGGAAATGCTTTTATTTCCATAGTGAAGAAACAATGTGCTAAAAATACCACATTTTTCTCCAAAATGATAATCTGGAGGCATTTAGGATTCCAAGATTGGTTACTTTATGTGTTTCCGCTTCAATGAACAGGTTACTAGATAACACTTTTTACTATGTAGGATACGCAAAATTTTCTACCCCACTTTGATCAAAACAGACTGTAAAAATTATCACAGATTTCTCATGTCAAGCCTCAAATTTATATACTAAGGTCAAACTAACAGAACAGTAATATTTATTATCGTATCTTGAAGACGATATTGAATAAGTTTTACCAGTAAAATAGAAAGAACGTATGTATCAACTATTGTAAACTATTTTTTAGAATGTGCTATGAATAAGTATCAAAAATTTTCACCAAAAAAATCAGGATATAAAAATAATACAAAATTACAGTTTGTTAGTCGGACATTGATATAACTGGAAGTAATTTCAGTCTTTGTTGATACCTAATCGGAATTTTCATTTTGAATACTCTGAAAACAAAACATTACCGTGTATTTGGATTCAGGACAGACTGAACAAACGGAACATTTTATACACTTGATGAAGTAGATGCATCCATAACGTAAAATGGAACCATAAAGAGTATAAACATCATTTTTGGAATTCGAAAAAATGTCATTTCTTCATGGCAGGATTCAAAACCGGTATCTTTTATTTGCGTTAGGGAAGATCAAAAATGCTATCTGACACATTTTGTTTCATCTCGCAATTGTCGATTAAAATACATCGAATTTTGAAAAAAACACACTTCCACTTTTCCGCCATGTCATATATACTTATTTTGGGACCCCCGTTTTTCGATTTTTTGAAAATTTTAGATTAAAAACGTATAGGTACATATGACTCCATGGTCTTCTAGCCAAATGTATGTACGAGGATGGATCAAATATGAACCGGACTGTTCTGTTTAACGCGCCATCGGTGCATGGAGTGGGGCGACGTCTTTGTATATGTTGGGTGGGGATGTCAGGAAGAGGGAAGCAGTCGGTTTGGCGCGCCCTGATAGTAGCATCATGTCTGAGCAAGAGTTGCTCATGCTTGCTGCGCCACGAATTATCATAAAGTTTTGTCGCGGGAGGGCATAAAACCTTCCGAAATTTGGCGTCGATGAACAACATAGTTCGGCGTAGAGACAGTTTCAAGGACACGCGTATACGACTGTCAAAACATTTTTCCATGGAGTGGTGAAAGCCTAGAGAGGCAGCGCCGCGAAGATCCAAGACCAGCCTTTCCGCAGGAAAAGTTCTTGCAACGGTATTTCGGGATTCCAGAGGTGTACTGCTAGTTGAATTTCTTCTGGATCGTCGCACACTTAATGCTGCTTACTACTGACAACTGCTTAAAGAAATGAAACTTGCCTATCGGCGAAAAAGACCCGCCTTACAGTCTCGATATGTCGCCATGTGACTAATACGTGTTTGGGCCAGTTAAAGAAGACCTGGGAGGTCACCACTTGGTTATGCTCATATTTGATTAACCCTCGTATTAAACACCTTTTGCTAACCTTTTGACCACGACAGTATCTTTTATCAAAATATAAATATTGACAATACACTATTTATATATTAAAAAAGGTCAGCGTAGCGTCAGTAAAAGTGTTTAATACATATTATTTCATTTAGCTAGGTCATGGTGTTTTCTCAAAATGAAAACCACAGGATAAGTTTCAGGTATTAAATTAACCATGGGCGAACATTTCAGTGCTGTGTTCAGCATGCCCAAAATGGAATAAATGCACAAGGAATTACGTTCGTTAAGTAACACTTGGAAAATGCTTTATAGAGGGAAATTAACTCGGAATAAACTTTATACGATATTAGACAAATTAACAATAACCACAACTTATATAAACTTTCATATATAAAGATCTGGGAATAGAAAACGCTAACAAATCTTTCATGTTTCAAAGTGTTTGTATATAGCAGTAACATATCCCATTACTTGTTGCCAGTCGGGTCTTTCTTGTTGTACCATGTCGTTTATATTCTGAAAAATTAATAAATCAATCAGACCTATTTATTCAAAGCCATTACGTTGGCCTATCAGGTAAATTGAAAATAGTTATAGGAACAACTTCATTCGCGTTGGCAGCACGTCCAACGTGAAACGCGTAAATCACCTGCTTTAGCACTTTTACAATTAGGCTCAAGATTAATGATGAAAAAATTATATAAAATAAAAAATATCTGGGTATATATGTGGATAGTAAATTACTGTATCAAGAATACATTATTTTAAAAATATCAAAAAAGATAAATTAGTTGTATAGAGTTTCCCATGATCTCAGTATGTATATGTATTCCAAAAATTGTGTATAACCCATTTTTTATATTGTTCAACCATCTGGTTTACAGGGAATGGAAACACATTTTCAAAATTACAAATTCTGCAAAATAAAGCTATGAGTATCATGTTAAATAAAAAAAATATGATAAGAGTACGTCTATGTTATAAGAACTACAGTGGTTGAATGTTTTATGTTATTTAGTTCTTTTTTTCATATTTAAATTAAAAAATCATTTATTACGTTCTTCACAAAATTAAATACCCATTATCATAACTATGAAACTAGGGGAGGTATAGATTTTCATCTGCAAACTTGTATTAGTAGCATAACTAGCAAATCTGTGTTTCAAAAGTTAGAATTTGAATTTAATAAATTAAATAATGATATTAAACAGTGTTCAAATTTAAAAATGTTTTAAGGTGAAATGAAATAAAATTATGAATACTCAAAATGCATAGTGATGTAATTTTAATAGACAAGAATGTAATATTACAGAAAATTAATTCTCAAAATGCGTAAGAAATTATGCAAAATTGGCACTGTAGCATTAATACCGAATAAACCTTCAACAAAAAAAAAAAAAAAACAAAAAAAAACGTACACAGTAATGGACTCAAGTTTAAAGAATTCATCTGCAGTAATAAAAATATAAAAAAGCAATAAATAGCAAATGTAACCTTGGAGAAATGTTGAAGCAAGTGTGCTGGAAGCGAAATTATATGAAATAATGAAAAAAATTTAAACCGAGAATCGCAGTTTTTCATTGCCAGGCTAAGAACTTTTCACACCACCCTTGTAACAAGAGAAATTTCCGAAAATTTTATTTAAAAAAGTAGCCATTGTATGATTGAAGTTAAGAAGGTTTCATTGCTTAAACTTACCAGTGTGGTAGGAATTCCAACACTTTCTGCAGCAGAGAAAGCTAAGGAGAAGTTTTTTCTTTTTTCCTGAGGCGTTAGACTATCGTATGGAATCTTTTCCGGTAGATACGTGTGCATAAGGGCGCACAGAGCCAGGCCATCGTTCCAGGAACTACTGAAGTTCGTTATATCGATGTTCCTGTATCCTACTGTTTTGCTCTGGCACCATTTCAACAACGCGTTTCTCTTAGAACCGCCATTTTTTACTAAGCCGTTTAGTGGGTCTTTTCTTTCACCTAAAATAGAAAAGAGAAATTTTTGAACTTTTATCCAAAAGACCCCGCAAAAACCTTGTGGGGAATGGCTATCGGCTAATTTAAAAAAAAAAAAAATGTTTTACAGCCCGGGACAATATTGCATGCTAGGCTCTTGTAAAAATCTATCCACTATAAGCCTAAAAGTTATCGATGAATGTGTGGCCACTAAAATTATGTGGAAAACGTTGACTCCAAATAAAGAAAAGTATTTAATAATAAATAACAATGAAATCGTTTGAAAGATCCCGTTATTATTTACTATACTATAACTATCTAAAACTGTAATTGACTCATCGATGTTCACGTGAACATCACTTAACTACCAGTAGTCGGCTGTTCATAGGCGGGGTATGAATGTTTAACATGGGTGAACTAGATTTGTCACATGCTTAATAAAGAGTGGTTTGAAACATATTGTAAGCCAAAAATTTGGGAATTACCTTTATTCATCGTCGCTTCCACTTACATCTGACAGTAATAAACTGTCGCTATCGCTTTCCTCGTTGAAATTGACTATAACTGGATCTATGATGGTGTCGATGTGGTGGTCAAGCTGCCACATTTTTGTTTCTTCCTTCACAACATGACGGATAGCATTCTGCCAAGCTTCGGGCGTTGCTAGCTGTATGGAAGTCTCAAGTAAAACGTTAACGTCTGGTAATTTGAAGGTTGTGTTATGGCGCGCAATATAACCCTTCACTTGATCCCAGATGAGCTCTATTGGGTTCAGTTCACAGTGGTAGGGCGGTAACCGCAGCACAGTGACACCACATTGACGGGCCATCTCATCAGTCACGTAACTAATGTTCGCAGGTTTGTGCTGTTTAATTTTTTCATACAATTCCGCTTTCACACATGAATCATCAAACGGGATTCCTTTTTCGCGCAACCATTGCTGCATGTCACTTTTTCGAGATCCCATAGTCGGTACACGTTCGGCTCGACGACTATGTTAGGAAGCATTATCCATGACGATCACAGAGTTGGGCTCAACTCGCTGAAGCACCCCTTGAAACCAGCTCTCGAAGCAGCTGGCATTCATTTCGTCATGGTAATCACCTCCTTTCTTAGAGACGAAAATCAAGTCACACTCTTCTAAAAAGCCACTATCGCTACCAATATGAGTTACGATCAATCTTTGACCTTTCCCTGACGGTCCACGAAGACCTGTTGACAAACCTTCAATGCTTGCTTGTCGGTTACTCACTACGTTTTTGTCTATCCAGGTTTTTTTAACTGTGTGACCTGCATTTACCCATGTCTCGTCCAAATAATAGATTTTTCTGCTTTGTCGCCTATATTCAATCATTTCGCGTAGGTATTTTCGACGCCAGGCGACTATTTCAGGTCTCTCTATCAATACTGACTTCCGATTACGCGTTTCGTAACGAAAATTAATTTCGTGCAGGGATTTCCTCATTACCTCGACGCTCATTTTGGGGTATAATTTCATTTTCCTTGATCGCTGCATGTACAGCCTTGAGGGTTGGTATCTCATTCCTAAAGAAGAATAAATGTACGGTTCGCCTTAACGCCATTTTCCTATCGTCATCCAATTTAACGACCTTTCGTCCCTTCAAATTAAACTTTGGATTAGTAGTAGCTCCAGTTTTCTTCTTTTCATGCACCACCCTGCGAATGGTCCACTCTGGAACGCCTGTCATACTTTCACAACGCGCGAGTGCATCTCCCTGCGATTTCTTTCACGTCCCTCTTGAGTGCTTTACGAAGCCGTCTACTTGTTCCCTGGCTTTCAGTACTTCCACTCGTGCCATTTGTACTCTCCATGGTTAAGTATAACCAAAACGGTAACCACAGAAACCACAACAATAACAATCACACAACAATTCTTATAAAAACACACAATATGCGATCGCTCAACGAAACACGTTCCAATGCGTTGCCGACGCCTATGAGTCTGCCGGTCGAGGCGCGTCTTTGATTTCATTGGTTCTACCGGCGGAGAACAATCAGCCATTATTTCCATCTCTGTCTGTGCTGTTGACCACCGCAAAGCCACAGAAACGACATATGTCGTATGCTATACGGCTGTACTGGAAGGAAGCCGGGATCGAGCTCTGATCACGTGTTGATCACGCGTATGAGTCATTACAGTTTTAAATAGTTGTAGTATAGTACCAATTTTCGTATAACATACTAAATACGTACTCAAGTCTGAATAACTATTTCGTCTCGAGAAATCCATTCCTTTTTGTAGCAGTGCTTCTCTGTAGTTGTCGTCTGTCTTTATTTTCACCTCATGCTTATCTACTGAACCTGCAACATAAATTTCTTCATTTATAATAATTACAATACATTCATTTTGAGATAAAATCAAGCACTTGGGAAAGACAATATTAATCAACAATTAAGAAATTAACATATAAGCATCAAACATATTTTGTAACAAAATTTTCTGATATTGTTTCATAGATAAAATACTCACTCCAGTCGCGGTTCAGCTTATTCGTTTGCTGTTCTTTCAAAGATTTAGTTTGGCCAATAGTATTGACATCATTCCAATCTGGAGGTGACTTTAAAGGCGATTCAGTAGGTGTTGGTAACACTAGCATGCCGCTAGGACTCCTTACATCTGACGTTAATGAATTGAGGGACGAATTTGAACTGCTCCTTGAAACAACTGTACCCAAACCTGAAAAGGAAATCAATTAATTAAAAAAAGTAATTACATGCTATTTAGCTGAGCATGTCAAAACAAAAACGACCTCTTGCCGAATCCTTACGCTCCTATTGCCCCGTAATCCAGGTAGGCAACAACAACTAAAAGCTTGTTTTCGATTAAAAGTGTTATACATACGTATATATACTCATATATATATATATATATATATATATATACATATACTCATCAAACTTAAGTTTACAATAAAACATACACACTTCACACGTATATAGCCTCAACTACATACCTGTTTTTGTAACTGGTTTCGCCTGACTTTCAATGCTTTCAATGAGGGACTTGACCGACTGTCGACTATTTTGTCGTGACAACACAATGTTGTTTTTTCTCCTGAGAGTGACATCTTCACTAGGGAAGCTGGTCGGTCGTAGAGGTACCGATTCAACTACAGATATATTGTATACGAATGAACAAATGTTTTGTATTTATTCTCAATATGTGATCATGTGGCAATGCAGTTAAGTCAAAGATATATACTAAGTGACATATAAATTCTCGAAGCCATGCCTGACAACACCTAACCACAGTGTCTACACTTCTTTGCACTCTAACTGCAATTGCCCGAAAAGAAAGTCCAGCTTCCCGAAGTCCCACTATACGGCCCCTATCAAACTCAATAAGTTGACGAAATCGTACAGGTCTCCGTACTCTAGGCATCGTAACCGATCGTAAAGGATGTCAAGAACCAAAATCCGCCAACGTTGATTCTTTACTGCGGCTGAAATATTCATTTTTAGAGCGTTAGTGAATTAAAAAAAAGCAGTATAAAAACCGGAATGTCCAACTGATAAGGCTGAAAATTTTTTCACTTGTTATTTACAGTAAGATAAATACATTCACCAACTTTTATTAAAATAAAACCATTTAAGCTGGGTGTTCGGATTTATATGTCACTTAGTATATGATTAATTAACAATTGAAAAATGACCAAAATAATAATATTTCATTACTCTGTTTGGGACTATAGGGGAATACGGGAGAAAGGGGGGACGCCATACGGACTCTAGCGAGGGAACGCGTGTGTATGCCAAATCCACACTTTCTGGGCACGCCTTAGAGATCCGCCGGGTGGTACCTCCGCGTTCGACAGTTAGAGACCGTCCACCACCTACGTTCTGTCATGTATTGTCAAATAGTAGGTACATATTTCAACTCTCATGATCGTATCATTGTGATAAAAAGTGATTAAAAACTGTTGCGGCTACTTCAAGGTTCTCCCAAAAAGTCTAACATGTTGAATTAAAAATCTTACTTTATAATCTGAAAATTCCTATTGGCCGGGAGCGGAGCGCATAGTGAAGGGTAGCAAATCGATCGAGAAGCAGGTGTTTGGAAAAACATTGAAACATCATCGGACTGATAATAGATTCCCTATGGTGAAATCTGTGTCATATGTGGGGTCAATTGAGGCCTAGCAAAAGTGCTGTCATCATTTAAGTCATTCAAAGAGAATCAAAATTTTTCTTAACCTCAAATAAATTTGTTAAATGCCCGCAAATAAAAAATAACTGAAATCATATAAATATATTAATACACTGCCACATAAATCACATATTGTTCAAAAGTATTAATAAGAAATTCCTACCTTTAAGTTTCTCAATTTCTGCCCTAAGCTGACGTTCACGTTCTCTGTAAGTCTTATTTTCCATGATCATTCTTTGTAGCTCCTGTTGGGCTTCAGTCTTAAAATCGTTTGCCACCCTTACAGAAGTCAATAGGTCGCTTTGGAATTTTTCCCACTCCTCATTCTACAAAATACCACATGGAAAAATTATAGTTTGAACTAACCCAAATCATCGCTATTCCATCGAAGAATCAAGAATATTGACCCATTGAACTTACTTCTTCTGCTCTAAGTCTTTTCAGGTCTTCTAACTCACGTTCCAAATTCAAACTTTTCCTTTCAGTCTCATTTAGATTCCTTTGAGTCTCTGATAACACAGCTGATAGTTGTCGTTTATCCTCAAGCTGACACTGATTTTGAACCTAACAATAAAAATAAACTTTACTAATTGCGTGAGCAGGTGACATCCACCTAAATCCATAAAGTTGAACAAAGATGTCCTTCAACATACGAAGTCTAATTATACAGGGTGTAAACGTTATGATAGTCATTATTGAAATGGGTAATAGGGGGGGGGGGTCATAACAAGTCAAAAAGTTCATATGACCCATGGTCCAAAAGTCAATAGATTTTTGTCTGGGTAATTAACAAATAAATGGCGTCAAGTTTTTCTAAGTTAAGCCAAAATTTGTAGTCAGTAAGTTTCATTGAATTAAATATTTAAAACACACACGTCAACAGCGCGTCGGCCTTTCATCACTCTTATCGAACCGGCAATCGATCGCAAACGGTACGAGGGATGTCTTTTAAGTTTTGCATATAGAAACATAGTAGGTCGCGCGGATCGAGCGTCAGTACTGAATCTTAACCTTACTCTTTAGTAAACTCAAATTCAAATACGTGCAGTGTTCTCACTACAGTGAATTTTTAAGTGTCACCAAGTCATTAGTAAAATGGAACTCGACCGAGAACATTTTGGCTCCATAATTTATTACGTGGACGTCTTAGCGACGATCCCAGGGTGGGTGCACCAAAAACGGCAGTCACCCATGAAACCGTCGATGCTGTGCGCAAACTCATCATTGAAGATAGACATGTGACATATCGCGAGATTGAGGCGTAGTTGAAGATCTCAAAGACATCAATTCAAAAAATTTCACATGAAGAATTAGGAGTAAGAAAATTAGTTTCTCGTTGGATACCCCACCTGTTGACTGAAGAGCAGAAAGCAGCCAGGGTTAATTGGTGTCAAAAAACGCTTGACCGTTTCAATTCCGGAAACTCAAAAAATGAGTACAGCATTGTTATACTACAACTATTTAAAACTGTAACGACTCATACGCGTGATCAACACGTGATCAGAGCTCGATCCCGGCTTCCAGTACAGCCGTATAGCATACGACATATGTCGTTTCTGTGGCTTTGCGGTGGTCAACAGCACAGACAGAGATGGAAATAATGGCTGATTGTTCTCCGCCGGTAGAACCAATGAAATCAAAGACGCGCCTCGACCGGCAGACTCATAGGCGTCGGCAACGCATTGGAACGTGTTTCGTTGAGCGATCGCATATTGTGTGTTTTTATAAGAATTGTTGTGTGATTGTTATTGTTGTGGTTTCTGTGGTTACTGTTTTGGTTATACTTAACCATGGACAGTACAAATGGCACGAGTGGAAGTACTGAAAGCCAGGGAACAAGTAGACGGCTTCGTAAAGCACTGAAGAGGGACGCGAAAGAAATCGTGCTCAACGTGTTCAATTATCTGAACATAACTATGTCGCAGGGAGATGCACTCGCGCGTTGTGAAAGTATGACAGGCGTTCCAGAGTGGACCATTCGCAGGGTGGTGCATGAAAAGAAGAAAACTGGAGCTACTACTGATCCAAAGTTTAATTTGAAGGGACGAAAGGCCGTTAAATTGGATGACGATAGCAAAATGGCGTTAAGGCGAACCGTACATTCATTCTTCTTTAGGAATGAGATACCAACCCTCAAGGCTGTACATGCAGCGATCAAGGAAAATGAAATTATACCCCAAAATGAGCGTCGAGGTAATGAGGAAATCCCTGCACGAAATTAATTTTCGTTACGAAACGCGTAATCGGAAGTCAGTATTGATAGAGAGACCTGAAATAGTCGCCTGGCGTCGAAAATACCTACGCGAAATGATTGAATATAGGCGACAAAGCAGAAAAATCTATTATTTGGACGAGACATGGGTAAATGCAGGTCACACAGTTAAAAAAACCTGGATAGACAAAAACGTAGTGAGTAACCGACAAGCAAGCATTGAAGGTTTGTCAACAGGTCTTCGTGGACCGTCAGGGAAAGGTCAAAGATTGATCGTAACTCATATTGGTAGCGATAGTGGCTTTTTAGAAGAGTGTGACTTGATTTTCGTCTCTAAGAAAGGAGGTGATTACCATGACGAAATGAATGCCAGCTGCTTCGAGAGCTGGTTTCAAGGGGTGCTTCAGCGAGTTGAGCCCAACTCTGTGATCGTCATGGATAATGCTTCCTAACATAGTCGTCGAGCCGAACGTGTACCGACTATGGGATCTCGAAAAAGTGACATGCAGCAATGGTTGCGCGAAAAAGGAATCCCGTTTGATGATTCATGTGTGAAAGCGGAATTGTATGAAAAAATTAAACAGCACAAACCTGCGAACATTAGTTACGTGACTGATGAGATGGCCCGTCAATGTGGTAACACTGTGCTGCGGTTACCGCCCTACCACTGTGAACTGAACCCAATAGAGCTCATCTGGGCTCAAGTGAAGGGTTATATTGCGCACCATAACACAACCTTCAAATTACCAGACGTCAAGGTTTTACTTGAGACTTCCATGCAGCTAGTAACGCCCGAAGCTTGGCAGAATGCTATCCGTCATGTTGTGAAGGAAGAAACAAAAATGTGGCAGCTTGACCACCACATCGACACCATCATAGAGCCAGTTATAGTCAATTTCAACGAGGAAAGCGATAGCGACAGTTTATTACTGTCAGATGTAAGTGGAAGCGACGATGAATAAAGGTAATTCCCAAATTTTTAACTTACAATATGTTTCAAACCACTCTTTATTAAGCATGTGACAAATCTAGTTCACCCATGTTAAACATTCATACCCCGCCTATGAACAGCCGACTACTGGTAGTTAAGTGATGTTCACGTGAACATCGATGAGTCATTACAGTTTTAGATAGTTGTAGTACAGTGGTGATGAATCGTGGATTTACTGTTATGAACCAGAAAATAAACAACAGTCGGCTGTTTGGCTGTTCCAAGGTGAAGAAAAGCCAAAAAAAGTCATCCGTTCTTGAAGTGTTTCGAAAAAGATGGTCGCGACATTTGTGTCAAAAGCGGGTCATATTGCAACAATTCCTCTTAATGAGCAAAGAACTGTTACTGCGGATTGGTATACCACCATTTGTTTGCCAAAAGTCATCACCGAGCTTCAAAAAATCAACCCCAAAAGAAGAATCATCCTCCACCAAGACAACGCAAGCTCGCACACAGCCCAAAAAACAAGGCAGTATTTAACGGAAGAAAACGTGGAATTATTGGACCATCCTCCATATAGTCCCGATCTAAGTCCTAACGATTTCTTTACTTTCCCGAAAATTAAAAACAGACTGCGTGGTCAAAGGTTCCAGTCACCAGAAGAAGCAGTTGACGCATTCAAAAATGCCGTTTTGGATCTGCCAGCAAACGAGCTTCGAAAATTGGTTCGAGCGCATGCAGATGTGTATTAATCTTCGTGGAGAATACTTCGAAAAAGAATAAAGTCATTTAAAACTACCTACCGTGTTGTTTTATTTCCATATACAAAACTTAAAAGACATCCCTCGTAAGTCTATGTATTTTTGATATTTTTTCACGATGACCGATTCATGGTTTAGGTTCAAAACTGAAAATTTTCCTCAATATTTAAGTGTGATTTTCAACAATCAGTAATGAAAAATCTGATGGATATTTAATTTCTTGCTAAAACAACGTAAGGTTTTTTTTCGAGTTTCTTCCATTATTGTCATTATTAAGCTGTGATGATTATTCGAAATTTGAATATTTTGTATTGCTACATTAAGCCCAAAAAGCGCTTTAAAATTTACTTATCAGTGAGAGTTTTTTATTGTCTCCTGGAAAATTCACGTGCACTCCGGATTCAATTACAAGGAAAGGTGATCTTTGCTTGCTATTTTTTTTGGTAAACAATTTCATTTAAAAAGAAAATGGAGTTTGTTTTTCTATAGTATACGTCCAAATACAGCGTAGGTTTGGATATCTTTGAGAATACTGCTAATATACCAAATAAAATCCTTACTTGGAGTTCATTTAAAGCTTCCTGAAATTCCTGTAATTGATCACCAAGGGCAGACTTTTCCTTCATTAGCTTCTCACATTTGTATTCGAGATCAGACTGTGTACTCTTCGCGTTATTTCTCGTCACCTGAAATAATCCCAATTTATACCTATGTTCAATTATGATATTATTTGAATATTCACCATAACTTCCTCTTGTAATATCGATACTTGCTCTTTGAGTTTTTCAATTTCATTTTTACCAATAGCCAATTGTTCTCTCAAATGAGCCACTTCTGATTCAAGCAAATGTTTTTCTTTTCTGGCATTATCAAGCAGTTCATCCAGTTCTGATTTGTCGCTCATCGTCCTATCTTGTTCTAGTTCATTGATCTACAATCAAAAATATACAAGCTGATTCCAAGACATTGGATTATTCTAAGACTATTTCGTTCTATGACGCTTCGTTTTGGTAATACAAGTACATTGCTGGAAATCGGTTTTTATTAAGTAACTTTTGAACAACACTGTATATCCATCGAAATTTTGACAGCATAATATCTAGTTGAAGCACCAGCTGATAAACAACTAACACACTTAGAACTCCCTAATCCAATACTGCCGATAATTTACAACCTGTACAATAACACTTTTAGAAAACCTAAACCTTTATATGAAACAAATATACTCGTTTGATTTCGTTAAATGATCCATTTTTGGGAAAAAACAGACTTGTTTCGATACTGCATCTACGGGTTGTCCAGTGGCAAAGTTCACATTTCAAATATGAATTACGTGGAAACCGTAAGTGGGGAGAGGTCGTGATCGACGCGTTCGGCGTGCGGGTTAAATAGTCACAATGGAACGTTGGACCGGAGCGCAACGTGCTTTTGATATCGAGGCTTACTTTAAGAGTGATGATTCATACGCAGCTGCCCTTCGGAAATTTTGTATACGATACAACATTTGCCGACCAAAAGACGCCCAAAGTACGAGGGTGGTCCCAGAAGTACCCGGCCTGACCTAGAGATGACGATAGTTGTTTGAAAAATATCATTGTATTAGAAAGTATGCAACCTATAAAGCATATGTGTGAAGTTTGAAGACGCCACATTGTTTAGTATTTGTTTGGCAGCTATCAATACTGAACGTTTTCAGTGAATTTGTGAAAATGGAGAAAATTGGTAAAATACTTTTATTTCAAAGACCTCAGCCCAACCAATATAAAAGCTGAACTGGATTCTACTCTGGGCGAGTCTGCTCCTTCGTTTACAACAGTAAAATATTGGGTAGCAGAGTTTAAACGAGGCCGTATGAGCTGCCAAGACGAGCATCGCAGTTTTCGACCAAATGAGGTGACGACTCCAGAAATGGTGAAGAAAATTCACAAAGCGGTACTGAATGATCGTCGTCTGAAAGTGCGCGAGCTAACAGACATAGTAGGCATTTCAAAAAGTGCGGTTCATCGCATATTATCTGAAAATTTGGACATGAGAAAGCTGTGTGCAAGATGGGTGCCGCGATTGCTCACAATCGAGCAAAAACAGTGTCGTGAAGATGTTTCAAATGAGTGTTTAGCGACGTTTCACTTCACACCCGAGACAAAAGAACAATCAAAACAATGGACTCAAAAGGGATAATCGGCTCCAAAGAAGGCGAAGATCGTTTCATCTGCAGGCAAGGTTATGGCGTCGGTTTTTTGGGATGCGCGTGGGATAATTTTCATTGACTACATTGAAAAAGGTAAAACTATCAACGGCGAGTATTATGCGAACTTATTGCAACGTTTGAGTGATGAAATCAAGCAAAAACGGCCGCATTTGGTTAAGAAGAAAGTGTTGTTTCATCAAGACAATGCACCAGCTCACAAATCCGTTATTGCAATGGCCAAAATTAATGAATTAAAGTTTGAATTGCTACCTCATGCATCCTATTCACCAGATTTAGCCCCCTCGGATTATTTTCTGTTTCCAAACTTGAAAAAATGGCTCAGTGGTCAAAGATTTTCCAACGATGAAGAAGTGATGTCGGCAGTTAATGGCTATTTTGAGGAGCAAGACGGTCATTGTAAATCCTCGGCGTTCTGTACGGAAGTATTCCGCTGCTTTGTTAATCCCTAGGTCAACACTGCATGGCATAATGAAGAAAACATGGGTTTTCATCCTCATAAAATCCAATCAGTCTATGCGTTAAAGAAGAGTGATTACGTATTACCGAAATCTTGTGCTGAACGAGAAGCTCAGACTCGAGAATGTGGTTTTCAGTGATGAGGCCCATTTTCACTTAGATGGTTACGGGAACAAGCAAAATTGCAGATATTGGGCATCAACGAACCCAAAAGAGAAACATCAACAACAGCTACATAGTGCATAGACTGTATGGTGCGCCAAATCCTCTAGCGGTATTATTGGGCCGTATTTCCTTGATGAAAACGGTCATGCATTCGCAGTCAATTCCGAGCGACACAAGGATATGATTGACACTTTTTTAGCTCTTATTGTAACAACAGAACGTCGAACACATGGTTTCAACAGGATCGGGCCATTGCCCATACTTCCAGAGAATCGTTGGACACGGTGAAAGCACTTTTTCCTCAAAAAGTTATATTAAAGTTTGGAGACATTCACTGGCCTCCTCGGTCACCCGACCTCACGCCATGCGATTATTTTTTGTGGGGTTATTCAAAGTCAAAATGTATTCGAAGAATTCACGAACACTGGAGGAGCTTAAAGACAACATTCGACGAGAAATAAACAACATCAGTCCGGAACTCTGCAAGAGATGGTTTCAGAATTTGCGCTCGCGATTAGAAGGTTTTTACGAATATGGTGATAGTAATAAATATTTTTTTTTCATTTCATTAAGTTTGTATTTTTTGTCTTAAATCAAAAAGTGAACTAACCTACTGGACATCCTGTATAAATTTACACTGCACCCAATCTCCAAAAACTGAAAAAAAAACAAAAACTCGGCCGAGTCTTTTGGAAATTAATATCTGAATGTTTTTCGGGTCAATGACTTATCAAAATTTCTAGATTCTCAAAATGACCAATCGAGTTTTTTCGCCTTCCATTAAGAGCGTATATTTCCGAAAAGAAGCTATATTTCCAGAAAAGAGGACAAAGTAGTTTTATAATAGCGTGATATGGGCTACTAAATACCCACCTTGGTTTTAGCATTATCCAACAAATCATTCAGCCTATTGATCTCGATTTGTTTCCCATTACATTGGTCTCTAGCCTGCATCAGTTCCTGGTCTAATTGCTTATGTTCTGCATACCTCGCATCTAAAGTGTACTCTAATGTTTTTATCCTCTCGTTCATTTGCTGTATGACATTATCTTTGTCCAAAAGAGCAGCTTTAGTCTCTTGTAATTCACTCGTCATTTGTTCTAGTTTCACCATCAGGTTTTCCCTTTCCTCCTGAGCTGCCTTCAGTAGATCAACCAGTTTTTGTTCTCGTTCTGCGATTGAGCCGTATTGGTCAGTCTCACCTTTTTCTTGGTATATAAGTTGCTTCAAAGATTCTACTTCAGAACGTGAATCGTTCAGCCGTTCGGTTTGTCTGCAAAGGCTGTCGAACATAAGCGTTTTTTCATCGTTCAGTCTTTCGTTTTCTTGCTGCAGTTCGATCAGCTGCCTTTGTAGGTCGGTTAACTCTTGAAGTGTGGCTTGTAGCTCCTCGTTAGTGCTGGAAATGTTACCAGAAATAAGAGCAAATCGAACAGAAAGTAACTGTCGCGTACTTTTCAAATTATAGGGTTGAAAAAATCGGAAAAGTCGGACAGATAGTATAGCCACTTTTATTAATAATGTTAATAAATAACGGGTGATTTTTTAAGAGGTTTAGGATTTGATTTTCAAAAAAATTTGAAAAAATGATTAAATCTTTATTTGAGTCGATAGAACGGTCGATATAATTTAATGTTTAAAGATTATTTCATGTAAATGTTGGCCGCGGCTCCGCTTTAGATGGCCCATGCGCAAGGTCCAATTTTGGCACACTCTCTCCAACATATCGGCCGGTATCTCACGAATAAATGCTTCAATATTGGCTTCCAGTGCGTCAATCGTTGCTGGTTTATCCCTGTAGACATTAGCCTTAACATGGCCCCACAAGAAATGGTCCAACGGCCTTAAATCACACGATCTAGGCGGCCAATTGACGGGCCCCAAACGTGAGATAAACTGTTCACCGAACTCGTCTCTCAATAGCGCCATTGTTTCGTGTGCGGTGTGGCAAGTGGCACCGTCTTGTTGAAACCACATGTCAGCTAAGTCCAGCTCTTCCGTTTTGGGCAAAAAAAGTTTGTTATCATCGCACGGTAGCGCTCGCCATTCACAGTTACGTTCCGGCCATTGTCGTCTTTGAAGAAGTACGGCCCGATGATGCCACCGGCCCATAATCCACACCAAACAGTGATTTTTTTCGGGATGCATTGGTAGCTCTTGCAATGCTTCTGGCTGGTCTTCACTCCAGATGCGGCAATTTTGCTTGTTAACGTACCCATTCAACCAGAAATGAGCTTCGTCGCTGAACACAATTTTTCGATAAAAATGTGGATCTTCCGCCAACTTTGCCAGCGCCCATTCACCAAATTGGAAACGTGGTGGGAGGTCGTGTGGCTTCAATCCTTGCACCAGCTGTATCTTATAAGGTTTTACACCCAAATCCTGTCGCAAAATTTTCCACGTAGTGGAGTAACAGGGGTCCAATTGCTGCGAACGGCGGCGAATCGACATTTTACGGTCATCACTAACACTGGCGGATACAGCCGCAATATTTTCTTCAGTCCTCACTCTACGTCTGCGTGTTGGTGGTTTAATGTCCAATAATGTAAAATGGGTTCGAAATTTAGTCACCAGCTTCCGAATAGCTCACTCAGTAGGCCGACCAAATTGCCCATAAATTGGAAGCAGTGCTCAATGCACTCTCTTAACCGAGCATGAACTTTGATAGTAAAATTCAATAATTTGCAAGCGTTGTTCGTTCGTAAGTCGATTCATGGTTAAATTATAGACCAAACTGAACAAGTTTGACAATGACACAAGACACGATTCACGCGTCATCTGTCAAAAACAGTGTTTCCAAAAAGATACTAGCAAAAAAATCACCCATTACTTTAGATTTTTTATGTCCTGCGTTTATCCATGTTTCATCCGAGTAATAAATCTTCCTGCCCTGATCCCGGTATTTCTTTATTGATTTTAAATAATTTCTTCTTCATAAAATAATCTCTTGGCTGTCCATTAAAATACTATTTCTGTCCCGTTTTCTATACTCAAAATGAAGTTCTTACTGAGGTCAAATGTGCAACAGCGTAAGCCCATTTTCAAAGCAAAAATTCATAACTGGTTTTTTGATGGGTTACAGTCTGTTTAGTTTTAGTGTAGAAAAACTTATTACTTCTTAATCTTAGTAAAATTCAATAATTTGCAAGCGTTGTTCGTTCGTAAGTCGATTCATGGTTAAATTATAGACCAAACTGAACAAGTTTGACAATGACACAAGACACGATTCTCGCGTCATCTGTCAAAAACAGTGTTGCCAAAAAGATACTAGCAAAAAAATCACCCATTACTTTACTCTCTGGAAATAATCCAGGGGTTGTAGAGATTTTACTCGCTATACATAGTACGTCTGGGAAACTCTATATATTTAGAAGAACTGGCAGAAACATTTCTTTGAGATTTAGAAAAAAAAAAGTAGTAATTCAATTCATTTATTTCAAATTTTGCTCAAATATGAGTACTCTCACTATTCAAATGCTAGAAAAATATGACTTGAGTAAACAGTTTCTACCAACCTGGAAGTTGGAAAAGTCGAAAAATGAGATTGCAATTTTTCCAAATTTCAGACGTCAAAACCTATCTATTCATCATTATCTGTGAGAAGTCCATAAGAACTTTGCTTTTTTTAAGGTATTGTAGGTTGGTAGGTCTATCAGGTTTGGTTGACCAGATACCAGACAGTCAGAGAGGGGAAGAAAAAAGGAAGGAAGAGGGGTGACGTGGCACAGTATTCAGAAATTTTAAATTCACCTAAACATTAATTTACAGATTGGCTGTTGTGGAGAAATTTTAATTTTGGTTGTATGGACCATGGATGTTGGTTATTGTAAACAAGGTTATCTTCTGCAGAATCTGCAGGTTTAGCATATGGGTTTTGGCGAAAAACAATAAAGCTACGCATTTGTAAGTGATTACTGGTCTTATAGCCATCTTGTATAGCCACACATTAATCAAACCTAATTTAGAGGATCTACATAGCATTGAGTTGTCGAAACGTCATTTGAAATTTGGTTCTCAACACTTGTGTGCTTCTGCCAGGCCATCCCCTTGTCAAGAATGACACCAAGATACCTAGCAGAATTTTCGCGAGCTCCATTCAGTGGAACAAAACTGTAACCTTGTATGTTAACACTACCTCATTTTCCTTTTATATGAACATACATCTGAAAAACGTACCTGTAGTGGGTTTCTTGCATTTGATGAATCTTATCCTGCAGGCAAGCCACTGAAACTTCACTGACATTCCCCGATGAGTATTTATCCCAATCAGGTGTTGTGCATGGAGTGGCATCAACTCCAGTGTCATCTTCAAGCAGCTGAAACCATAAATAGAACTATAACATAAGGACAATAGCTTCACCTTAATAGTTTCCCTATGATTTTAAGAACAAAGCTTCACATTCTAATGATTAAAGTTTTACTCATGAACTGCACAATTTTATACATCAACATATGATTTGCATTCCTTGTTTCACTGTTATCTAACAGGCTTTAAACAAGATTTTTTAAAAACATCTGTCGCAAAAAAGTAAGTTACAAAAATGTGTCAAAGGAAACATTAGCTCTTGATTGACATAATTTTGTGTTACTATTGACCACTAAGCTGACTAGTCAATGAATATGAGTGCAAAAATTGTAGGTCCATGCAAACTCCAAGCAGCCTATACTGTTTGAGTGATGTATAGAATGTTTTTCTGATCAAAATGAACTCTAAAAATTTCTAATTATTGAAGAATACTTACGTTTGTTGCAATGGATGCAGGAGCTGAGCTGTGATGTCGGTGGGAATCCAGCAGTTGCTGTTTCTCTGTATCCGACAATGGAGAATGGGCAACATCACGTAACCTGTTTCTTAGCAGAGTATTTTCAGCTGTCAGATGCTCTAACTGTACATTTGATTCCTCTTGGAATGACTGGAAAAATAAATGCATATTGGAGATATATTTCAGAGTTATAATATATTACTGATGTTTGTCCGTAAAATACGTATAAAAAATTCAGGGCGTTGCGTCAAGGGGAAGTGGAGCGGTGGCCCGGTGTTTCCCTCTCTGTGCAATCCCCTCTATGCTCTGTTCGAGCAGGAGCGCTCTGCGAGTAAGTAGGATTTACGTGCACTTGTTGAAAGTAACCCCTTTTTTACCTGCCGTCGGCGTGATCGAGAAGCACCGCATCAAGTTCCTTGCAAAGCTAGACACGAATGGTCGTGAGATTTTTGACGGAGACAATTCTCTGAAGGAACCAAACGTCAACAAGTGGCTGAAAAGGTTTCACAAAGGCCGAGAAGATTGAGCATTGAGCTCTGTGGGACATGTTGAACAAATTCGGGGCTGTGTTCGTCGATTGACAGTTAGAAAACAATCGTCCATGAAATTCTGACAGAAAAACTTGAAATGAAAAAAATGTGCGCGAAAATCGTTCCGGAGCTCTTGACTCCAGAACAGAAAGCAAGGAGGGTTGCTTGCTGTGGGGATTGATTGGAAGTAGAGGAAAGGGGGGACTTTCTCAACAGAATCATCACCGAAAACAAGAAAGTCGAAAAAATCAAGGTCCAATGTGAAAACAATGTTGATTGCAAAATGGTTCTTCAGGGGCTGTACTTGAGGGATGTGGAAGCCATCAAGGTAGAAACGACACGACAAATGAAAAGCCTCACAATTGAAGACTTTCAGCGGTCGTATCTACAGTGGAAACAGCGTTGGCAGAAGTGCATCTTGTCTCAGGGAAGTACTTTGAAGGAGACCAGGAGAGATATTTTTTGGACAAACCTGGTATAATCATATTTTCAGCAGCAAAAGGAATCCAGATATTAGCAGAAATTATTACCAATTTTTCTGAAAATGTAGTTTTTTATTTTGTGAAACGAAACCATATATGCTTGAAATAAACAGTATTACTGTCAATGTTATGGCCACCATAGCAGCCAAAACGTCGTAAGCAAACATTATTTTTAGCATATGTGCATATGTGGTTTCATTTAGTGGCCAGATAAACTTGAAGGATTAGCAGCCTGAAAACCAAAGAATAAATTTCACCTTTAGTTTTTGAATTTCTTTCTGTAAGATATTCAACTGTCCCTTTTGTTCCCCTAACTGTAGGGCCAAGTTTGTTTTTTCTTGAGCCATATCTTGTAACTGTTTCCTCAACTGGATGAACTCTTCTTCTTGCAACGAGTCTATGGAGAGATAGGGACTCTCCCCTGACTCGATTTTATTGTTGTTCCTTGCTGAATCTGAAAAAAATGCACATAACAATTAACAAAGCATTAAGCACCACATTCCATAAAATGATTCAAGCAGCCTAGGAAGACTGAGGTCATACTGTGAAAAAACAGGGTGGATAACAGATAACGACTAACTTATTTCCTCAGTATCATTACAAATAAAAGAAACTTGATTATTCTTTTGAACTTACTTTTCTTTTCATTCCTCCTAGTCGGCTCATTGGTTTTATCAATTCTCTCCTTAGACAAAGTCTTCCTAGGCTTGGTCCCTTTTGGATGATAATGAAGCTGTTGTTGCTGTAGCTGTTGCTGAGTCTGCTGTTGCTGCAGCTGCTGCTCCTCCAAATTCGTTACAGAGGATGTCCTCGAGAGGTTGTCCAGATTCTGACCATCCAGCCTAACATTCTGACCTCTACGAAAGATTGCTTTGATACTTTTCATTTTTGATGATGGAAAAACTGGCACTTGGGGGTTCTTTTGATTAAATTCGTTTATTTTAAGGCACTTGGAAGGTAAAAAATAGTTCTAGTTCGTTACCCACATAGTCACACTTTGATTGCACATCAGTCTTTAAGTTTCGGATGGAATGTCAGTTTCACACATAACTACAAATGTAACAAATATGGTAAAGATATAAGGATAGCGCAATTTTATTCTAACACCACACCAGACAGACAGGTAAGATTTTTTTTTATACTTGAACCACCACAAAGGGCTAAGGAACAAGTATGCATATAACAAGCCACATTCTGGCCCTGAGATCTCCTACAGACAATGAGAACATCCAAAGGCAAGAGAAACATTTTCCTGAGATATCCGAGCCCGTGCAGCTCACGGTTGCCACATTTGTGGGTCACTGTGTCTACCACTAAATGACCGCACTTGATCCTTGAAATTGGACAAAAACAAGTTTTTTTCTGGCATAGTAGTACTATGACACCCAGTATATGTGGCAGAACACATAGGTCAGTATGACAAATCAGTATTTACTGTGATCTATAGCATAAATATTTTCTGGTGTGACTGTCAGTGTCAGCAGATTTCCATGTTATTACATTCCGAGATAAATACTCACAGATCTTGTTAAATACTGATTGTGTAGTATTCACAGAACAATTTGTCTGTTGCTTATGAGCCACGATATACAGAGTGATGGAATTATGACATCTACATTCTACAATTAATTCCGCATGATAACTAGAAAAAAGGACAGATCTCATTTTCCATTATACCCCAATAATGATGTTACTTTTTTAAAAATCAGTTACGTTTTAGCCAGGCTTGATGAGGGATGATCACCAGTTACAAGATAAAGAAACAAGGTCAAGATAGCCCAATGCATTTCAACATATTGAAGGCATTCATTTTTGTAAAATTCTCATTATGGAAACTAAAATATGCATTGATATTGATCAAAATCGTTAAAGAAATATTACTAATGAATACAAATTTGATGCAGTTTTTGGTGTAATTGAGGAGGGAATTCAATTTGCATGGGTGACAATTATACAGAATCCAACCCTGTTCTAATAAAGCTAATATTTACATATTTCATGTTTTATATGTCTAAACATAAATAAAAATTTAAATATTAGATTTTATGTCTCGAATTGCATCTAAACACGTAATTTGATGCTTGGCATTCTCATCCGCCTTCCCGAACAGACGTTCTGGTGATGGCTAAATATTTACAGCTGTGTTGTCAACAATAAATTTCGAATAATTGAACGAAATCTGTAATAGGAATTGAGCACTTTTGGCATATTGTAAGAAAATTAATTATGTAGGTAAGTAACACACTGGCCAGCTCGTACGTAGACAGAACTCTCTCTGCCCAACTGTACGATCCAAATAATCTCAGGTAAACAACAAAATAGTCACTTTCACGTATCACCGTTCGATCACACGACACTGTCTCGGGTGGAAATAGATGGTATTCAGCTGGAAAATTGCATTTTAGATAATGGGAAAGCAACCACCTTGCACTTGTACACAGATTCAACACACCGCTCACGCCGTTTGAAATTGTGCTATCACAAGAAAACAGAAAACGGCCATTTCAATGAATGGTGGGGTAACATGGGCAGCGGCACGCAGAGAAGTGCAAGGCGAGGAACTGAACAGACAGGGGCGGAGTCAGGAAATTGTCACATTTTTGCCATCGCGCTGACATGACGGAACCCCAAATTAAGTATCAAAATTTGATCAACACGTTCTAAAATGAGCAAATTTTAGATGTTTTAACGGCTGCTTGCTATTTTATAGAACTTCAAAGTTGCATTTTGGGTGCTAATACTGTTGTATAGAATATTGCTTTATAAGCTGTTTTCTTCTTGTTTATACAAAAGATTGTTCAAAATTATATGAATATAACATACACTGTAACACTGTTCATCGCAATAATGCAGTTTTGCATTATTTTAATGATTATTATTGTTAAGTGTCATTTCATTTATTTCAGATAATTATTCCCATCACTATACTACAGTCACTGTCATATTCTCTCCATCTAGTTGCGATGTTGTCACATCATGAATAGTAATATACCTTAACTTGGTTTGTCAAATTCTTACTTATATACTAGCGCAAAAATGTGTAATCGCCACAGGATTGTCATGAAAATGCGATTTGGAGGTGTGGCCGGAAGGTTTTACTGTACTAAATCCACCTCGTGTCCTACGATAGCGTTAGCTAAATACACTTTTTTGAAGAATGCCTTATGCCCTTTACAAAAGTACTTCGGTTATTGTTGTTCCTATATTATAGTTATAATCTATTTACTTTTTGTATGTATATACTTGAAGAATTATTTAAAGTGAAGCTGATGTCACAAAATATACCTAATTAAATGTGATATATATGAGAAATAACTGAAAAAGTAGCTGTTGCCAGTCACTAAATAATGAAAACATAACAAAGAACATTGCAAGTTTTTTGATGATTTGATGAAATGATCGTTAATCTTTATTATATTTAACTATAATGTTGGACGATGATAATGTTGGATGGACCTAGCGAGGTGGTCCAAATCGACGAATCGAAGTTGGTTTTTTTATATGCAATGGACGCTGGCGCCTCTTGTATTTTTTGCCACGCGAGCCGCTGGCGCTGGTGCATTTTCCACTGTTTAGACACATACTGCTCAAAATTTCATGTATTTTTCGGTAAATATTGGGACAACTATTCATAAAACAAACCATTTACAATAAACTAAGACTTTTATTTTGTAAATACCCTCATTTCTAATTATTTATTTCTCCCTAAAAAGGTACAACTTGGCAACAATGGACACCACTTATTTTATCTGTCAAGAAAAGAGCGTTATAAAATGGCCAATGAGAATTGTTTTGTACTTTCAAAAATTTCTTATAAACGCAAAAACTTTGATCTCATTGAAAATACGCGAAAAAAATGGTTAAGGAATTTTAAGAAGACATTGAAAACTTGCAAAACAACACCTCTACACAGTTTACCAAGTAAATACCATCATTTACGTATGTATTTTGATCTGCTATTTAAATTAATAAGCTAATGTGTAATAACACGTCTGGTTTTGAACCTTTTTTGCAAAAAACAACGATTTTTTTCAGTTTCACATCTATACGTATTTTCCTTAGTACTATACAGTGTATGTTATATTCTTATAATTTAGAGCATCCTTTTGTACAAAAAGCAAAAAAAGACAGCATATGAAACTGTATTCTATTCTAGACTATTACCACCAAAAATACAATTTCGAAGTTGTATAAAATAGCAAGTAGAGGGTTCCTAAAAGAAAAAAATGATATTTTCGTAAAAGTTACATCCTAATCTTTCATTTTAAAGTAAGAAATGAAGTGTTTGCAATATGCGCATCTTACCGATTTAACAATGACCAATGCCATTTAGAAAGCGCACAAAATGAATAAAGACGGTTTTATAGCACCTGAAACTTATCCTGTGTGGTGTTCATGACGATAATCTCTCATCTTTTTCTGGCTAGTGAAATCTCATATATTTGAAATTCCTTTTTCAACTAGAAAAAGCATCGGTCACAATGGTGACCTTCTTCGATAGCGTTATTACGTAAAAACATTGTCTGACGGCTTGATTCCAATGTGTGCGAGAGAGAAGCGCGAACAGAGAGTATCAACACATGTTAGAAAGAGATAGAAGCCGGCTGAAGAGCGAAGGTCATCACCACATTGCCTAGCGACGGTGACGGAGAGGGTGTTACTGTCAAACCTAATTACACATTGAATTCAAGCCTTCAGGCAAACTTGGTTCTCAGTGTATAATAATGTTAAAAAACGATAAAATATCAACTTGTTGACTATGAAGGCTAGTGTGCGTCTTGTTGGAAATCCTACGTAATGACATAAAGACCTATATGTCAAAAAACAGACATAATGTCAAAAAACTGACATATTGTAACTTTTCAGGTTATGTAATACCCTTGTAGTACTGAAGTACTTCATTGGCCAGACAAACCTGGGATATTAAGTTTGTTTTTTCTCATATCTCCATCACAGCATCGATTTTCATAAGAAGCAGCTTGCCAAAACAGAGAATACATCTAATATCTGAAGTTCGCACTTGCTAAACACAATTTGGTTGTTGATGCCTAGTAAATCGGTGTTATATTCTCTACTCATTGGAAAAGTTTTTCGGTCGTAACACAGAAAATTGTTTTCTTAAAATTCTACAATTTTGACTATTTGCACAAATGGAATAGAGGTTCAAACTTTGGATGCATTTTTTTAGGGTTGTTTGATAGCTGCAGAAGCCCCCTTGGTGCTCAGCATGACAGAATAGGATATTAACGGTTCCAGAAACGTTTCCGCAATGTCACCGAAACAAATGTTACTTATTGATTCTAGACGGCAGTAAACTCTAGACAAGAAACATTTTTATTATTATCATTATTTTTTGAGTATCCGATAAATTGCGACGGAGACAGTTATAAAAAATCTTAAATTTCGAATAATATCCGTATATCAACCATTTGTGTGGTAGAAGAGTTTCAGTCTTAGTAAATAATCCTCTCGCGGAACCTAGATACTGACCTGCCCTGAGAAAAAGTCCCGAACAGGTCTGTATTTAGAAATTTTAATGTATGTAGCCGGCTATTATAGTATGGCGAGTCTTCTCAAAAATACTTTTACGAACCCGCAGTGCCGGAGGAGGCATGGTTTCAAATTAGGGCGACTGAGAAGTGCTTTTAGTTCGGTAGAGTATACAAATGATAGTCGAAACCAGAACCAACACTGTTTCTCTTGCATATCAACGACCTCCTTTCCTGCACGATCAACCCAATCCACAGCTTCGCTGATGACAGCGCTCTACATGCAGGAATTTAGAGTGACAAGCCGATCTCTGCCGCAGAGCTGGAAAAAAGAAGACTAGCGACGACTTCCTCTCTGGCCGATTTCTGCCAAAGAGCCATTCATTTCGGCTGGTCGGTGTCCAGATCACCGAGGACCTCATCTGGCACGAACTTTGGCGTTCCATTCTAACCGTGTCGAACTTCGTACATCCAGAACTGGCCGATACGACCGCTCTTTTGTCCCGAGGGTGTCGAGATTGTGGAAAAATCTACAAGGGGAAGCTTTTCCCAGTTCTGCTAACCTTAGGCAGTTCAAAAATCGGATTAACAAAATTTCTTTGGGATCATCATAGCAGCCGCGGTGTTCAGGCATTTAGGCTTCTGGCTGCGCGGCTGCTTCGATATAAAAAAAACAGTGTCAACAAGGATCGATGCTTTAAGAGCTTTAACTCATGTTCAACAATCATTTGACTCAAATAATTGTTTTATACAAAATAATTAATGTCCAAAAAATTGCAAGCAACTAGAGCGGCCTTGTTTAAAAGTATTGTTCCCAAGTCGAAGAATTCTACACAATGTTCAAAACCGATTAAATAGATTCTTTGATATTGTTCAAGAGTTCGGAGATTGATATTGTTACATCGTCATTTGAGTCTGTTCAAACTAACGAAACTGCACACAAAATTTCCCAACATGCCCTTGCATTCAGCGTATTTCATTTCAAACGAAACATTTGATTGCCAAATGAACCAAAAATAGGAAACGTAATCATTATTGAAAAAAAAATTCCGAACATATAGAAGGAAGAGAATGTTATTCATTCCAACATCTCTTTTGTATAACGCAGATGCAGAAGAGCTGTGTCTTGAAATATGCTTCCTGTACGAAAGAAAATAATGGGCTTTCCAGTGCAGTATCCAAACTTCGCGCGGCATTTTAAAGAATTCTTAAAAAGTCCTGATCATTTTAAAAAAAAATTGTAGGGGTTGGAATTTGGCGATTTGGGGTGTACGAAATGGAGATGCAGAGAGATGCAAAAGCGTAAATGTGGAAAGGGACAACGTTGCCACATGGTCGGTAACCACCAGTAGGGCAGGGAAAGACTGTATATGGTTTAATTGTATGGGCCTGTTTGACTGACTCAATACATTTAATTTCTCTGTTCTACATGTCCGTAACTCAATATTCTCTCAGATGATTTAAATTGTGCAGAACTTAATCC